GGTGTATCCTGGGGTTATTTGGGCCGCTGAAAACGATGGGACAGGTCCCATAATTTTTCTGTGCTTCAGCCCAGCGCTAGGACCATGTGCTCCTCATACCCCCCCCTCCAACTTGGCGCTGCCACATTAATTCAGGGAGGGCCAGGAAAAAATCAGGAAGGAGTGTTCCCTGGGGTTTTCAAGGTCTGTGAATCCATTGGTGATCTCTGCAAGACAATAGGAGAACAAGTGGAGAAGATGTGTGCTGCCCTCCCAGCCCCAATTACGCAACTTGGGGGGGGGGGGTGTAGCTCAAAAACGAAACCTCCGATTTCCTTCAAACTTGGGCATTGGGGTACACCCATAAGGTACTATAAGACCCCCAAGTTTCAGAATTTTTGGACATGCCCGACTTTCAATAATATATCAAAATATGGGTATAGACAATGTAATGTAGTTCTAAGCGAGGCAATAAAGTCGACGGCACCACTAGATACATATCAAGCCCATTTTCCAGCCATTTCCTGCACCACCAACCAGGTATCCCCCACCACCATCGTGTCACGAGCACCCACAGCTGACGTGCTCTGACTCCACTGTTCACCAATGTCGAGTAATGCGCCAGCAATGGCAGTCGCGTTATACACCGTGCCATTACTCTTGCTGCCTTCGAGATATTGAATGAACATTGCCCAACGCTTACCGTAATAATCACCGACGAGCCCACCCCACTGCTTCGACGCGTAGTCATTGATCTCGCCCTTGGGGCCCCAGAGCGTGATCTGGTTGCGGGCATTGTACTCGAGATATGCCGCGTACGACGCGTTGCCGTTGGCCCAGCTGCGAGCAGCATCGGTCCAACGGGACAGCTGGAAGTTCTCGTTCGTCATGAGAACCTTGTCCAGGTCGGCGACGAGCTCGAGCATAGGCTGTCCGGCGGCAGACACAGAGGCGGACGAGGCGGAGGTGGTATTGTACACGGCGAGAAGATCCGCGTACAAGTCAATGAATCGGTTGACGAGCAGCTGACGGGTGAGGTCGACGAGGTCGTAGCGATACTCCGGGATGGCGAGAAGCGAAGGCGTCGAGTGCCCTGCCTGAACGAGCTGTTGGAGAGCGGGCACGATAGTTGTATTGGTGTCATAGAAAACGTGGGTAGGGTGATGGCCGGTGACGTTGACGAGGCCCGATAGCGCTGGCTCGAGTTCGAGAATGCTCTTGACGGTGGCCTGCGAGCCGGGGTCCGTGTTGCTGTACACTGTCGCCGCGAGCGTCTGCCACGCTTCGATAGCACACTCGGGGAGCTCGTCGGCGGGATAGCGACGTGTCGCCCACGCTTGCGCGTACTCGGTCTTGTTGATCGGGGACGACGACCACGCCTGGTCGAGGAGAACGTCGTAGATGATCTCGTTGCCCTCCATACCCTCGGGAGTAAGCCCCACGCCGACCATCGAGACATTGGGCGATGCAAGAGCAGCGAGCGGCGCCTCCGTCACGTTCGCGAAGTTGCCCTCGAAGCCCATGTTGCCACCATAGTCGTGTAGCTCGCACCAGATCCAGCGCTTGCCGAAGTACGAGCTCAGGCGCTGCCATTGTGGCTGCGCTTCGCTGTACAGATCGAGGATAAGCATGCCACTCCCATCGTCATCCCCGGGAACGCCGGCGAGGTAGGCCTCGACGCGCTCGGGCGTCCAGAAGTCGGCCGAGCTGAAGAACAGCCAGCCTTGCATGAGCCACGTTGCGTCCGGGTCGGCCGCACGCAGACTCGAAAATGTCGCGGCGGAAATGTTGGTGAGGTAGGAAGGGTCGCCGCTGTACGGATCGTTCTCGTTGTACTGGTCAAGCGTGTAGATGTGCGACACGTTCCCAAATGCGGCCTGTTGCTTGCTAATGAACGATTGCTGCACCTGCGCGAAGAGTGGGTCGAACGGCTCGAGGAACGAGTCATTCGTGAACTGGGGCGCGAAGTCGTTCCACGCGCTGCCATTGACGATCGACGCGTTCGGATAGAGGTTATGCATCGCAGGCGGGACGAAGCCCGTGAACGCCGGAAGCACGGGAGTCATGCCGAGGTCGACCATGCGTTGCACGATCTGTTTGCCCAGGACGAACTGGTCATCGATCCACTGCGTCGGGAGGTCACCGCCCCAGCTGCCCTGGATATTGCCGAACCTGTTCCACGCCTGGAAGGCGGGGCCCGAGAGAAAGCCTGAGATGTCCGCGTCGGTGATATTGTACTCCCGGAAGACCTCGACGAGGGTGTGCTCGAAGCCGACCCACGCGAGCGGGAGGTTGACGCCGCGTAGTGAGAGCCAGTCGAGCATAAGCTCCCAGTCGTCGAACGTCCAGAACGCGGACGTATAGTCAAAGGTGACAGTATTGAACATGTAGCGATAGGGGACGATTGCAGAGCGTGTGACGGCGGTTTTGACGGCAGGAAGGGGTGCAGGGAGTTGATCGAGACGTGAACCGGTCCACCAGATATCGACGCCGCCATACTCAGTGAGGTAGCTGTGACCAACATTCCTTAGCAAACGAAAAAGCGAGATAGAAGTACGACGCACGTATATAACCCTCGCGAGCACGCGCTGACCGTGTTACACTCTACATGAATCGCCCTCGTCTTGTTCACTGCATCGGTGAGGGTGAACGTGTCCAATTCCGAGTCGCTTGAGTTGGTGAACGAGAAGGTGAACGAGTGCGCATGACTCGGTATCCTGCGTTGAACAAGGGCGTACAGTCCTTGCAGCGGGTCGGATTCGGATGAGTTGGCCGAAAGCGCGGTGGAGGTAGCGCCGACAATGCTCCCAACGAGGCTAACGAATCCGAGCAGCCGCATGGCTATGGGCTTCAGATGGCGAGATGTGCGACCTGTGCGTGAGCAGTGGGCTCAAAGAAGAGAAAGACAAGATGTTTCAGACGAGAGGTTGATGTGAGTCCATCATTAAGTCCATCATCTGCGCGGTTACGGCCATCAGAAAGACAATCAATGTCGGCGTTAGCTTGTGGGTGCCTAGCCGGCCCGGCAGATGGACTTGGACCATCGCACGTTGCACCGTCGAACGATAACAAACGTCAGTGGAACGTGTGAGGTTACCGTTGGGTCTCGCAGGTAGTGTTGAGGGTCGAAGGTAAACAAGCGCGTCGGTGGCCGCGGGAGGCTATGAACCGCGCGTCAGTCAATCTTCGAAGGAGCAAACTCTTTGTAGGTGCGAAGTATGATTCGTACTGTAGGGTAGCATGATCCTAACATAGAGAAGAAAAGTACAGTAGTTACATGCCTTGGACGGCACATTACGAAAACGTTAGCTATGAAAGTGATATATAACTATGAGTGTCGATTAAAGGCAGAACTTGCAAGAAACGCCATGAACGTTAAAGAGAGCGAAATAAAGCATAAACATATGACGTCGAACATTAGCCTACCCTAGCAGACGGAACCGCAAAACAATCCGGCGACCCGTAAAGAACTTATGTGACTGGTCGGGCACGATGGCTATCTCGAGCTCGTTACGCAGCCTCTTGACAAAAGGACGAACCTCGCGAGCGCCATCAGCAGTCGGCTCATCCGTAGGCGGTGCCCATCCATCACGGGGCAAAACTAGATCCAACTCGGCTGTATACCTCATGATGAGACCGCCGTCCTTTACCGCAAAACTTGCAAAAGGGCTACAACGAAAAGGAGCGTCAGAATACTGGTTCTATGTCGAGGTACTCTCCGACGCGAAACACGTACCTAAACTCCGTGTGAAGCATCTCACCCACTCGTCGCGCAAGACCTCCCAACTCCCGCTGCATCCCCTCCGCATCGCAAAAGCCAGAGTCAAACGACCCTCCCGGCTCGAGGTTCTGCCCATCACACCCCGACAAGACGCTCGAGTACTCCCCGTCGAATGCAAAGAACGTCGCTCGCAACCTTTGCTCGTGTATCATCGCCTCGACCCGAGCCCGGTCCTTTCCCCAGCTAAGAATAACGAGCTCCCGGAGCTTGGCGCGGAGGTACAAAACGTGCGCCTGCACGAACGCCTCGAGCCGGGCCCTGAACGCGGCGAAGAGCGCCGAGACGTCCTGGAACGCCTCGTACCGCATCATCGTTTCTTCCTGCTTCTTGTCTTCTTTTTCGCCGAGGTCCAGAGCGAAGATCGCGTCTTCGACCTCGTCTCGCCGCCTTCGCGCGCTGCGTCTCGCTCGAGCACGGCAAGAAGGGCAAAGCTTGAACTGGTATTGGTCTTCTGGGGGGAGAGGCCTTGCGCAGTACGAATAGTTGCATCGTCGTGTATTAGGTACAGACAACCCATGTCCATTTGCCGTTGCGGCGGATGACGAGGATTGAGGATTAAGCTGCGCAGTTACATCAGCCATGTTCCCCTTGCTGGAACGGAGAATCGAGTGTTACCTTGATCTTAAGCTTCAGGCGATGTTCCTCGTTATCACCGCCCAGATCCTCTTCGCTCGCTTTAACCTTTGTTCAGCATCCCTCGCAGCTGACCAACAACGATACGCGTACACGATTCAGCAGATCTTCTCCGCAGCCGCTCCAGACGCAACCGCTGATATGCGCGGTGATGCCGCCGACACGGATTACATACCTTCCACTGATGATCGACGGAGAGTACAACATTGCACTTGCGCATAGCGCAAATACGCAGTGGTGACTTGGAACCGCCTACTTTGGCAAACACGGGAACGCGTATCTTAATGCCCGACGCGTGACGCCGCGGCTAAGGAAAAGGACATTAGCGGTGAGCCGACTTCAAATTCCGAAGGAAGATACCTTGTCATCGTCAAGTTCAGTTTCGCCCTCGCCGTCGCTGGTGAGATCAGTGAGATCGCTATCCCATCCCGAGATGCTAGTATTGGGACCATGCTTGTAGATTTCGGCTGACGATGCAGGTGAAGAGGGTGACGATCTCGACAATCCACGCCGCAAAGGCACCTCGGGGGAAGACGACCACGAAAGACACTGCTGCAACGGAACCTCTGGCGAAGATGACCGCGAAAACTGCTCCCGCAGAGGAATCTCTGGCGAGGATGAGCGGCTCCAGCACTCTTCGCGTGAAGGAACGACCGAGGGAACATCTAGGTCTATGGGAGTAGAACGCGTGCCTTGCGCCTCAAAGATGGGAGACCGGGGCTCCACTTTCATGATCGGCTCTGGAGACTCGACAGCGGCGTTTGGTAGCGTCGGCGGAGCCGACTCGCGCTTGATGCTCCGAATGGCGTCCCACCTCGCCAGGGTGCATACAGTACATTTGCCCCAGTTGAGTCCTGAAGGCACCGTGCGGACGCAGTCTGGCGTCTCGCAACGTTGCTGGTAACAAAGTCAGTCTACATAATCGTGAACATGAATGCATTGGTCCAGCTCACCTCCCCTGGCGACAGCGAGGATATCGTTTGATTCAGTGAGCTTATGCTCGCCTGAGGTTGATCGGTGGCTTCAGCAGACTTTGACGACGAGAGAGTCAAGACGTCAACTCGAGCACGAACATCATCAGCGGGCTCCTCCTGTGAATTGTCAGCGTGCGGACATGCATCGTAGAAGCTTTGCTTACATCCGGGTATGTGAGATCGATAATCAGAGGCCCTTCGGGTTCTGAATTAGCATGTAAATTGGGTAGTTGACTCTGCGCAGTCTATGCCGTTGTAAGTATTAAAACAAGGAGCTTAGGCAATCCAAACTTACCTTATCCACATCCATATCTTCCATCTTCAGTCTCTTCCAGTCCATCTCCGACTTGAGCGATAGAGACGGCGCGATCAAGGTCATAATCGGACTCGGCACTAGTGGGGGCTTGAGCATGTGCAGATTGAGGTTCGGCACGACCGACGGACGTGAACGCGATATGCGCACTCCTCGACTAGCGCGACAGGATTCACATAGAACGGCTTGGCCGATGCTGACGGTCGGCACTTCGAGGCCGATGAGGCACGTCGCGCAGGTTGTCATCGTCGTAGAGCGCAGCGCTTTTCGTACCTGTTCGCATTGTTAGCTCGATGAGTTTTGAATGTATGCGCATACATATGACGCACCTGGAAAGCGTTGTGTCCCTGCAGTAGTTGCAGTGGTGGTGCTCGTATCGACGATTTTGCTCGCGCAGTCGCTTGCGCGCTTCTGCTTATGCCTACACTCGACGCGTCCGTCCTCTCTGCACTGGTGACCATTGAAGCTCCAAAAGATGGAGGCAGAGAAGTAGTTGCAATGCCGGGACGGGCCGTTGTTGGTTCTTCTGCAAAGTGATGTCGTTTAGGTGGAGGTACTCGTACCGTCATCTTTGGGCTCCCGTTCGCACTCGAGCCTACGCTCGAGCCCCTGTCGTATGGCGGCATGTTGATAGCATTCGCAAATGGCGGTGAAGACAAGGAGGCCATGTCAGATATGGCCAGGCAGGGAGCTTTCGCTGTCACGCAAAACTCGGCTTATACCTGCCAAGACGACGAAGCACGGGTGGTTGCAACGCGAGAAACAGCGCATTGAGCCTAGTAGCAAAGTGCAAAGGTTAACATGTGTGCTCACCTTCATCGAAACCAGAGTCCAAACCACCTAGGCTGACATTCCCGTCCGGTCCAAAGTCGAGCGACAAAGTCAAGTACACGTTCCGTCCAGGTCGCTTGCCCTCGAGTACTTCGGCGCCTAGATTAAGCCGATATGGGTAGCGAAGAGCGCGCAGGACACGGGGCGGAGGGCAGGTGAGCACGCGTCGCGGTCGGCCAGTCGCGGCGTCGTGAAAAATTTGCTGGCAGGTAAACGGGACGACAGCGACAAACAAATGTCCGTGACGTTATCGTCGCCAAGATTCCCGCATCGCGACAGCTCGCGCCTGGGTCCGTGCACTTTCGGCGCGTTCGACAACCGATCATCGTGCCAGTTTCACTTCCGCCAATAACCGACCTTGAGACTGAGTTGGACGCGTCGACTCGTTGAGCGGATGGATGATTAAAACTGGATGAGATTTACTGCACATCACATTCGCAAGATATAGTCTATAACGCCTCCTCTCGCTTCGACTTGTCATAGCACTCCAGCGTCACACTCGCCAAAAATCCCGGTATGCACTGCTCCTCCTCGACCCAATACCTCATCATCTGCGGTAAATCCTGGGGCCCGCCCTCACTTTGCGCAACCAGCTGCATCCTTGCTCCTTCCACCCCGCCCTCAGCTGACTTGCCCGCAGGCTGGAACACAAACGCAGCCTCGAGGTCGTAGATCGACGTGACCCGCACCTGCCCGTTGGGGTAAAACGCGAGCTTCAGCCCGAGAATGGACGCGATCGCCTCACGGAACTCGGCCGACTTCGACGCAAAAACCTGCTGCAACCGCAGCAGCCGCTTCTCCTTCTGCTTCACGAGCTCCTCGAGCTCCTTCTTCTCCCTGTCGAGCACCTCCCAGCTCTCGCGCGGAACGAGGTCTTCCCTCGGCGCATGACTTCCGTCCGCGTTCGATTCGCCTTCGGTAGTGTCGACACGGGCGCCGGCGTCCCCGAGCTGCTTCAGCCGCTTGATGAGCGCCTCGTTTTCGTGCTTCAGTCGGTCCATCGCCTCCTGCCGCAGGTCTGTCCATTGCTGCGCCGGGTTGTCCCGCAACGAGAGCACGCGTATACCGGGAGGGACATGGCTCCCGGTGCCGATCTTGCCGCGCAGTTCGAATAGAGTCTGTTCCAGGGTTTCGATGTTATCGAGGTGCGACTGGGCCGCATTGCGTGCTTCTTCGAGTTCTGTAATATAGAATAAAGAAAGTAGATTGTAAGTAAAAACGGGATGCAGAGGAAACACGCGAGAATAGAGGACGTGCCCAAACGAGAGGCCTCAGCAGCATCGCGCTCGCGTTCAAGCTCCTCCAGAAGCTCTGGTCGTGTGCGACGTGCTCCACCGAGCATGTTCTCCTCTTCCGCACGCTCAAGCGCATTTTGAAGGACCACGTTAGCGGCCTTCAGCTCAGCGCTGGCGCTCTCCAGCTGATGCACACGCTGAGCGAGAACCTCGTCGACGCCTCCAGAGTCGTCTTTCGTGCCTTCTTCGGCAGTATAGCTAGCCTATATGCGTGGTGGAGATAAGTGTCCAATGTAGACAGAAGAAAGTAGTGACTTACAAGCAAAGCCTGTAAGAATCCAATCTCGCGCTCTGCAAGCTCGGCGCGGTGCTCACGCGCGGCGACCTTGTCTTTGAGGGCTCTCGTCTCCGTTTCAAGGGTACTGGCATGGTCTTGTAAGCCCGACGTGCGTTGTTCGGCCCCGACGAGTTCGGCTTCGCGGGACCTCAGGTGGGCCACGGTTGCACCGTGCTCTTCGAGAAGCCGGGCATGCTCGAGGCGAAGAGCAGAGAGCGTTTGTGTGACGGAGATGGACGTGTCTGAGGCCCTGGGACCGACGTTGCCCTTCTTGACCCTACCGCAACAGAAAGTGATGAGCCTAAGAGGAGTGAAGGAAACGTTCGAGAACAGCGCACCATTCCTCCCTCTCCCTCCTCGCCGCATCCAGCTGCGCTTCTAGGCCTACAACCCTGCCTCGCATCTCCTCCATACCCGCAAGCCTCCTCTCTAACGTGAGCTTCTCCTCTCTAAGCACCTCGATACTCGCATGCTTTTCCTTCAACCGCGCGAGTTCTGCCGCTTGCCGTGCGTTGGTATTCTCCAGCGTGCGCATATATTCCGCCTGTCTATGCAGCTCGTCTCTGATCATCGGCCAGGAGGCGCTGTCCGCCTCCTCGCGGCGCGACGACTGCACGGCGATCTCCAGGTCCTCGGCGCGCTGCTGCGCCTCACGGAGGGCATCCCCGCGTTCGTCCGCGAGGCGCCGATAGTCTGCCAGCTCGTCCTCCAGTGTACGTGTCTGGTGTTCGAGGGTCACAAGCCGCGTTTTGGCGGAGGAGACCTCTTGCGAATGCGTGCGCGAGAGAGTCGAGTGAGCTTCTTGCAGCTCGACGTGCGTATCGCGAAGAGCGGAGAGGCTTGCGCGGAGCGAGCGGATTTCGGCGTCTGATTGTCTCTGACCATGCCACGCATACATGAGCTACATCGTTAGAGGAAGATGAAGGAGGAAACGCACCCTCTCCTCTTCGCGCTCGGCGCCTTCCTTCTCCCTCGTCTCCCTCTCCTCCGTCTCCCGTTGATATAGCCAGCGTTTGTCTCTCTCCAGCCTCTCAATCTGCAGCTCCTTCTCGCGCAGCTTGATGTCGAGCTCTGCTTTGGCGGCTTGTGACGCGAGCAGCTGCCGCTCGAGCGAAGCATGCTGCATGTTGTTCGTGAAGGCCTGCACGCGTTGTTGGCGTTTTGCGCTCCCATGTTGTGGATCTGGCGGGGTAGGAACTTTATATCAACATATACCAGGGGATAAGACGCGATTGGCGCATGAAAGGGACCCAAGGAAGGGAAGGCCTACCTCGCTCGAGCTCTGCCATGAGCGAGTCGCGTTTTGGTGCCGATGACCTCGTACTCGTCGCATTCGTGGATGCAGATGCAGGTGTTCTGGCGGCAGACGAGGCCGTTGGACGTGTCAATCTTGAGCTCATCGCGTCTGACGTCGAGCAGGGGCGCGTCGTTCGCTGCCAGTCCTTTGTTTGTCCCAGTGCGGAGACAGAAGAGGTGTCAAGGGTCACGTGCGTTTGTGCACGTGCTATGCTTTGTTTACCACACAGCCACTTGGCCATGCCTTTTTGTTCAGCTCCCTTCCTCTGCCTCTCTCCCACCAACCACTCCCTCCTCCCCTCCTACCACCCCCCTCCTCCATCCCAGGCATATAGCCACTAGTCAATTATAGAGCAACATCTAAACGATGTCAACAAGCGATGCCGACTATTCCGACGACGGCATGGAAGAGTACGACGACGAGTACTCGGAAAGGCCCTCCGACAAACCAGAGTACAGGCTCACCCATGTCCTCAAGTCCCACAGGACAACCTCATACGCCACCAAACATCTCTATGGCACGTATCCACACCTTGCGTCTCGTGTCATCTGCTTCATTGCTCATACAACGACTTGCAGATTGGATAATAGGGAATGAAATAGACATGGAGCCCGAGTACCAGCGAGGTTTGTCCCTGTTTTACTTGTGGCGTGGACTGACGCTAAACCCTCGAAGACGTTGTTTGGCCCGAAACTAAGCAGATAGCCCTCATCGACTCTATCTTCCGCAACTACTATATCCCCCCGATCATCTTTGGTACGTCAGCCTTACGACGCACCCCTCTGCCTAATCCCAATTCACAACTTTTCGACAGTGGCGCAGGAGAACGGAGACGGCTTGGACATCAGGACGTGCATAGACGGCAAGCAGCGTCTCACGTCGATACAACGGTGCGTGCCGCTGACGTCGAGGTCCATACCACGTGTTGACCCCCTTGTCTCATGCATCAGCTTCTTCGATGGACAAGTACGTCATCTCTTTCACCAATGAGAGCTCTCGACTGACTAAACTCCTTAGATACCACGTCAGTGATCCTAATCTCTTCGTTCTTTTCTACGACGCAGATCTCACATGTCGTCTGCGTGCATATACAGACAAAGACCCGTAAGCAACTTCTCGTTCCTCTCCATGAAGCACATCATTCAAGTTTTTCGCTCGAAGACATACGCGCGAGGTCCTCTGGTACAAGCTTAATCCTATGAGTAAGCGCAAGCGTGGCAAGCTCCTCCCGGACGCACTGCGCCGCCAATTCGCCAAGAAACAGATCATCTGCGTGGAGTACAGCGAGCTCGACGACTCGGACGAGCGCGAGATTTTCCAGCGCGTGCAGCTCGGCATGGCACTCACTCCCGCAGGTGAGTCGACGCCAACGCGGGAACGCCCCAGACGTTTCCTCTCGTCGCTCCGAAACTTACTCCCATACAGAAAAACTTCAGGTGATCTCGTCCCCTATGGCCTCATTCGTGCGCCAGCTCGAAGCGACGTATTTCGCGCAAGGCAAACCGCTTGACAACCCCACGCTCGAGTGGGATCGCTCACGGGGTGCCGACTTCCGGTGTATCGCCCAGTCGCTCTACTGCATCGCCAAGTATCCGTCCATGACCTGGGGCACGGTCCCGCAACTGGAGAAATGGCTCAAGAACCCGACCAAGGGCGCTGCCAAGCGCGGTAAGGCTAAAAAGACAACGGCGGCGGCAGGGGATAGCGACGACGAGGGCGACAGCCTCGCCAGCGACGAGGAGTTTAGGAAGCGCGCCGAGGACACGTTCCGTGTGTTCGGGAAGCTCGTCGCTGACGCGAACCTCGCCGCCGAGTTTCTGCGGGAGGGGTGGAAGGTGTCCCCGGTGGAGTTCATCACCATCGCGCTGTTCATCGCCGTGCACAAGGACCGCATGCCGCTCGCGAGGCTCGCCCGGAGGCTCCGCGCAATGCGCGAGCACACGCGTGCCGTACATGTCGATATCAGGATGAACCAGCGCGTCGCGAAGACGTTCATCGAGTTCATCATCAACGAGTCGACGGCCGTGGTCGCAGAGGAGGAGACCGAGACGCCTAAGTCGAAGTCGAAGCGCAAGCGATTCGACGACGACGTGGATATGGAGTCGCGGAGCGGGAGTCGGGAGCGCAAGGAAGGGAGGGTCGCGCCGCCGGGGCAAACGTTCAAGATGGAACCTCCGTCGCAGCAACAGCAGCCGTTGTTCCACCCGTCCCCCTCGCCCGTTGGCACTTCGGTCTTTACACCTCCGTCCTCTCAATCTCACCCTCAGTCCCAGTCCCAATCCCAGTTCGGCTCTTCGTGGTTGGCTCCGTCCTCTTCATCCGGTATACCCCCGCCGTCTCGAGGCCTGGCGGCCCTCCAAGCCGCAAAAGAGAGCATCGGGCGTACCCATCCGAGTATTCTGAACAGTAGCGGCGGCTCAGCGCGGCCGTCGCCTAGTGTGCCGCGAAGCACCGATCCGCGGGCACAGGGTAGATGATCGATGATCGTCGGGACTTGCGTTATGATCCAGAAAAACAGGGTTTACTTTGCTTTATCTTACTAATTTCGTAGACGTCATCTATTGTCACTTTGCTATTCTGATGCTGTGTCGCAAAATCTATACCTCATGTTTTGAATGTCAAATGTGCTGAGAAGTCGTTTGACGTCTGCACGCAACGGAACGGCTCGAGCTCCGAGATGGATTACAACAGCATGCATTTCGCGAAAGCGCGGAGTGCATTATTTGGTACGTACAGACGACAGAAGGAGAGGCTCTCGGACTGTTTGAATACCCAGGGAAAGTGCGCACGTCGTCGTCCGCTTTATCTATGCGTGCCATACACGGGCGATAAGCTCCGTCAGACCTGACACCAATCGTTGTTAGTACAATGTGATACGAAACAAATGAACGTTGGAAGAGGACAACTCACCGACGTCGTTTGTGTTGAACTGGTACACGCCAACGAGGCACGCGACAGTCGCAGCGCGGAGGCCCCAGGTGGCGATGGGGCCGATAACGGGGAACTTGCGCGGGTGGAGGTAGTCGACGACCATCGAGTCGAACTGCGTACAAGTGAAACGGAACGGCGAGTTAGCGCATGAATGTGCGTTATCTCCGCACCGCTCCGGCTTCGGTGAAGCGGGCAGTCGAAGCAGAGCCGGATAGGAGAGGGGACGTACGCCGATGTGCGAATGCATAACGAGCACGACGCCGAACAGCGCGTCGAGCGCGGGGTACGCGGTCGTCGACCCTGCAAAGGCGGCGCCCGTGGCGGGGATCATCGCGGCGCTGAGGAGGCGCTCGAACGCCCAGTGATAGGAGCCCGCGGTCCTGTTCGGCGGAGGGAACGTCGTCGGGTCGTTCACCGTACCCTTGTAGATGGCTGCATTCCAAGATCACAGTCAGAGAGGCTGAGACAGAGTGGTGAAGGGAGGGGAGGGCACGCACGTCCGCCGGGAACATACTCGGCGCCGGGGGTCGCGATGCCGCTCGTCTGGGCGGAGGACTTGCGGACTGTCATCACAGACGTCAGTCAGTCACACGGTCCATTTTTGCCACCTTGCGGATGTCTAGGCTCACCCTGGAGAGTAGAGCGGAGCGCAGAGCGCGCGGCGGGGTTGCGCAGAGCCTGGCGGAGAATGAGGGAGGAGGACATGGTGGTGGTCGACGGGAACGTTGGTGAGAGTCAGGGATTTCGCGGGTGTCGTTAGTGCGTCGACGGGGGCGGCCATCTCGCAATCACGTGTCGCCGGTTGCACCCGCGCACCGTTCCGCCTCCCGCTGCCATCCGGCCTCCGAACAAACTAATTCCGACAGCGCCGATAACAGCTTCAACATCGACTCTCAACAAACACGTCGTCCTGCTTTTTGTCATGGCTAGATTGACGCTTCTTGATACACCTGGCTACCCCTCAGCTTAAAAAGTATCTGGTACCACGGTCGCAATCTGAATGGCCTCTCCCATCCCGTGGACAAAGCTCTGGGTAAATTTGGCGACTTTGTTCCCCCCACTGACGTTTTTACCCCCGTTCATCTATCAACGCTTCTCGGTCTTCTCATACTTCTCTCACTTCTGTGATACGTGTTAAACGATGGCTTATGTTCTAATTTGTTGATAATAGGCCCATATACTCGTCATAGCGGACAACTTCCGCGAATGGCAACTTAAGATATTAGCGGGGTGGGATGAGACAACCTCTTACGCTTCATTGTCCCAAGTCTAACCTCTTATGTCTCAACGACTCTGAATCATGATGCAGGCACGATCTGCCACCATTTCCCATTACCTTGAAACCCGCGCATATAACCAGTCTGCATACTCACCATGCGCTCATGCAAGTCCAAAAAGGCCAAACCAACTGTTGAGTAACGGAGCAGGGTACGTCTGACTCTCCATCGTGCTGTTATCTCACTCTTACGTTCCTAGATTCTATGAATACATCTCTAGTGGTGCCGTACATCAGACCCTCAAACTTCCCCGGACAGCGGCAGACGACACCAAACGGCCTCATACACCAAGAATAACCACGTCCGACCTCTCGCTCACGATAAAGCCCGTCTATATGTGTCTACACACCTAAGAGCTTACCTTTCTCGAGCAGTACCCCGCGGCCCGTGAGCTGTCTCAGGGGCCAAATGTATCATCGGTTGACCCGTGGTGGGATACCAACGCGGTTTAATCCAACGGCGCACCACGCCCAGAGATAATTTGGGCGCCCCGTTCCCCGGAGAGCATGCGGTTCTAGGTGTGGTCCTATCGGCGCGATATCGCGCAATGGGCACCGCTGTGGGGTATATAAAAGCTCGCTCAGAGGGTCCTTCACCAGGCCCTTTCGTACCAGCCTCTCGTGCGACCCGAGACACGATCCGCCGGTCAGCATGTCCGTGGCACACGCACTCGACGACGTCCGGTACAGTCCGACGGACTTTGAGAAGACGGTGGACGCTGAGAAGGATGCTATTACTTCGAAGGACGAAGGTGGGTATATGCGCATTCATGCGTCGTTGCTGGCGATATATTGTTTGGTTGATGGCTGATTACTGTTTGTTGTCTGCTAACTAGATCAAATCATCGAGGCCATCGTCGACTTCGATGATCCCAACCTCGACCGCGAAGGTGCTGTTGCCGGTGTACTTGGTGAGACATGTCGCAGCTTTTCACTTCATTATGAACTCAAATACCTCTCCTTCGACAGAGGACGACTCGCCATATCCCGAAGTACGATCCGCTGTCGCTAACACAGACGACCCCGAAGTCCCCTGCTCGACGCTTCGCGCATGGATCATGGGTAAGGACTTCAATCTTGGGAATGTACGTTCTTGGTGACTTATAATGAAATCAGGCATATTCTGGGCGATCATTATTGCGGGGTTGAACCAGTTCTTCTTCTTCCGTTATCCGTCTGTCAGCATATCCAACCTCGCTGCTCAGCTGCTTGCCTTCCCTTTGGGTCGAGCTTGGGTTGCCGTGCGTAACTCGCGTCTTTCTATGTAACTCGACACTTACCATATCTACCTCCATTCGCTCGTAGTTTGTCCCTAATGTTCGCGTCTTTGGTATGCCTCTGAACCCCGGGCCCTTCACGATCAAAGAGCACGTCCTTGTCACGATCATGGCCACCGTCGGTGGACCTTCTGCCTACGCTGTAAGCACGACGCTTTCCTTGTGAACGTTTGGTGATCGTGTGACTAACGTTCGCTATCATAGACCGACATTATAGCGGTCCAACGTGTTTACTATGGCCAAGTATATAATTTCATCTGTGAGTCCCCACGCTGAGCTACGGCGCTGTCTCCTTTTACTGACCAGGCGTGCTTGGCTCCCTTATCGTTCTTTCTTGAAACCACGGACACATGCCTTTGTGTCTATATTTATCCTTCGTCAAATGGATACGCTTACTCGACCACTCGTCATCTCGACGTGATATCCACCCACCATCACCTTCTATGGCCGATGTTCCGTGTCTCACTTGCCCGCCGAATGTCATGCCGCGTTATCGGTGACGCGTTCTACACGTAGACCAGTGGATGGTAGTTATGTCCACCCAGCTCATTGGTTTCTCTATCGGCGGTATTCTCCGACGCTTCCTCGTCACCCCTCCTTCCATGAGTGAGCCTCGCGTTCTCTCACGTACATGTCACCATGTGAACAATCGCTAACACCCCCTTCCTTTCCCTTTCTTCTTTCCCCGCGCTGCCTCGCCAGTCTGGCCCGCCAACCTCGTCACATGCGCGCTCTTCAACACGCTCCACGCGCAGACGTACGCCGGCATGGGCGACCGCGGCGGTATATCCCGCGAGCGCTTCTTCTTATACGTCTGGGTCGCGGGCGTGTGCTGGTACTTCGTGCCGGGATACCTCTTCCAGGCCGTGTCCTACTTCTCGTGGGTGTGCTGGATCGCGCCGGACAATATCAAGGTGAACCAGATGTTCGGGTACGAGAGCGGGCTCGGCATGAGCCTCATCACGTTCGACTGGGCGCAGATCACTTATATTGGTATGTGTTCTATGTTTGTCCTTGATATCTCCGGATTGGCGTGTGGATCAGGGACGGTGAGGTGAGATGAGGACGCTGATCGACTTTGTCTATCTACAGGCAGCCCGCTGGCGACGCCATGGTGGGCTGAGGCCAATGTTGCCATTGGTTTCGTGTTCTTCTTCTGTGAGTTTTGTTTATTTTATGCGAGACGCTATAGACTGAGATACCTTCATAGGGCTCGTGTGCCCACTCCTGTACTACACAAACACCTGGTACAGCCAGTTCATGCCGTGAGTAGCCATACTGCGTATATCCCATAGACGTTCTGACAATGCCGTGTTTTAGTATGTCCTCACGCATCTCATACGACAACACGGGCCAGTCGTACAATGTCACCAGAATCACGAACGCGGACGCTTCACTCAACCTAACTGCATACGAAGGGTACAGCCCGCTCTTCCTGTCGTGAGTATATTTAGATTCATACAATACTATACTGTTACTTCAGCTAACCCACTACCAGGACGACGTTCGCGATGTCGTATGGCCTCTCGTTCGCGTCTATTACCGCGACGATCATGCACGCGATACTCTTCTTCCGGAAGCAGATCTGGGTGCAGAGCCGACGGTCCATCCACGAGCAGCCCGATATTCACGCGCGACTCATGTCGCGGTACAAGCAGGTGCCCGAGTGGTGGTACATGACGCTATTTGGTTTGTCTATGACTCCCTCGTGTGGTTTTCGTCATAAGACGCTAACATCGGCTTTAATGTAGTGATCATGTTCGTTGTTGGCATTGTCGCTATTGAGGTGTGGCACACGGAGTTCCCTGTCTGGGCTTATGTCCTATCTCTGTGCATTGGTGCGTGCCATCAACAACCATTCGTCTAAACTCCTTGACTGAGAAATTGTAGCGCTGTTCTATATCATTCCCATTGGAATGATTCAGGCCATAACAAATCAGCAAGTCGGGCTCAAGTGAGTAACAGACAAGTTTTGATCCATCAGGGCATTAACATCAAGCGATGGATAGCGTTATCACCGAGCTAGTTGTCGGATACGCCCTCCCCGGTCGTCCCATCGCTATGATGATGTTCAAGACCTGGGGTTACATCTCCATGTACCAAGGTCAGCCGTGACTCCCAGCGTCGATGCCACGTTATCTGATATCGCTGGCTCCTCAGCGTTGATGTTTGCGTCCGACTTTAAGCTCGGACACTACATGAAGGTCCCGCCACGCAGCATGTTTTGGTGCCAAATCGCTGCTACCGTCGTCGCAGGCACCGTCCAGCTGGGCGTGCAAGCGTGGATGTTTACCAACATCCCCGACATGTGCAGCCCGACCCAGAAGGATGGTTTCATCTGCCCGAGTACGGAGGTGTTTGGAACGGCGAGTATCATCTGGGGTGTCATTGGTCCTCAACGCCAGTTCTCTGCTGGCCAGGTTTACCACGGTACATCCGCAAGCGCAGCTTTTCACCTGCCGCGTTCACTGATGTACTCCTTCAGGCTTAACCTACTTCTTCCTTCTCGGCGCGCTGCTCCCTATTGCCGCGTGGCTCATTCAGCTCAAGTGGCCCAACAGTATGGTTCGCTACATCAAGTATGCATTATCCTACGTAAGATGACCAAGCGGGAACTAACTTCCTCTTTCTAGCTTCCCTGTCATCTTCACTGGCACGGGCGCTATCCCGCCCGCTAGTGCTCTTAACTACGTTCCATGGGCAATCGTCGGCTTTATTTCGCAGTACATCATCCGGCGGCGCCACTTCTCCTGGTGGGCCAAGTACAACTGTAAGCCCTTGTCCTCTATTTCCCGCTGTTGTTTGTTGTATGCTCCACTCAATACGACTTTGCGCGTCCAGATGTCCTATCCGCCGCACTGGACTCAGGAGTCGCCATTTCGATCATCATCATTTTCTTCTGCTTGCAGTACCCGCTCAACGGACAGATCGGTATTGACACGATCCAGACATGGTGGGGGAACACCGTCTTCCTGACCACTGCCGACGGTTTGGGGACTCCACTCCAGCAGGTTCCTTCGACTGGCACTTTTGGGTGAGTTATGCGCCAATACATTTTCTTGCATGTGCTGATTTTTGTCAGGCCAACGACGTGGTAAATGATACATGATTAGTACGTATAATGTATGTATGATACTAGAGGACATTTATATCAACCATGAATACGAACGCTACGTTCCATTCTGAGAAAGCTTTCTGTTTACATGCCCGATTAGCCTTGTCATCCCCCCAAACCCTTCAACATCTAGTGTGAGACGTCGGGTTAAACCTAAACTGATGTCAAATAATAGCATCAAACAATTTGGTCCTCGTAACAGTAGTATTTTTACAAGTAAACTTCCTCTACATATTCATGGCTCACGTAAAATCGCGCGTCGATGTTATCAGGAGGCGCCCCATCAATGCTAAACTTGACAAAGTCACGACAAGGCACTATTTGCCATTTTTCTCCTGCGGTCACGGTATTACCCCACTCTCCCTTCTCTAATGCCATCCACCCAGTGTAATTTTTGCATCTTGCGTGGTACTCGTTGACCATCTCTTCATGCTTCAGGAGGTATGCAACAGACTCTCTCGCCAAAGATGGATTGTATCCTTCTCCGATTAAGTCGTAATTGATAATGCCGATGCCGAGTGAGCTGGCTTCAAGCAACTCCCTGCTAGTCAATGGCATAACTTCTGCCTTGAACTGGACCGGTGCTTTGCATGATACAACAAACGCGCCGTCTCCAAATGTGCTATGCCAAGCAAAAGCCCCTGTGTGCGGTATCAAAGGCTCTGGGTGCTCTTGCGAGCGTGGAGAGCCCTCCATGAGAGAAACAGAAACGAGTGATACAGGCAGGATGACGAGAGACATGCGCAATCCGCGACCCGTGACTTCCATGCTACGCCGTGATCTGTACGGGACATCAAGAGCGGGGTGGCCGACATAATTAGCAGGAGATCGAGGGAGAGCCTTCGTGTTCTGAAGGGCAGCATGCTTTCCTGTCCAGTTCAGCACACTCCAGTCGCAACCTGAAAGCATAATCGCCTCGATTAAACGGGAAAACGCCCTGTCTGCGCCTTCTCCATAAGCGATTTGGAAGCTCACGCCAAAGATACCCATCAGTGAGTAGGCAGCATCCTCTGCGCGAGTCGTCACCCGCTTGGAAGCCCATGTCATCCTCGTGTCGATGGCGTATGGAAGGGGAGAGAAAGCAGCAATGTTGAAATATGGGATTCCCGTGACTTCCGAGATGGAGTGCAGCAACGGCGAGGTGATGTCCTTGTCGTTCTCGTCCGAGGTGAGCTCCTTCCACCTGGAGTTGAAGAACTTGATCCGTCTCGGGGCGAGTAGCTCCTGTAAAGTCCAGCCTCGGAAGAACCATTCGTCGTGACACAAGTCGTTCTTGCTTGTTGTCTGAGAAAGGTGGACGATGCAGATGTCGGAGTTTTGGTACCATTTGAACATGGAGCGAATAGATTCATCGAGTTCTGCGCTGCTGCTTTTGTTGATGCAACAGGTATCCGACCACGCAAACACATAGTCTCTGCTTCCTGCTTCTCGGCAAAATCGCTTTAACTTGGCATGCCCAGCCCCCTCCTCCACAGAAATACGCCTGTGATGGCTATATATAACGCTGGACCGCCGCAGGTTACCGTTGTGTCTGTTAATGAGGTCGTCATAAGTGGGCTCCTCGGATCCCCACCGATGCGATAGGATCGCGTAGCGGACGACTGATGCCACCAAGGCCTCCACCGAATCCCATTTAGTCATATCAGCATCCTGAACGCTGTCAATTGCGTCTTGATAGTGCGCTTTGACAAACGACCGATCGACAAGCTTCATCTGCGGGATGTAAATCAACCGCATCGGAATGTCGTTCAGGACGTAGCGGTTGAACTCAGCAATCAATTTCTGTCTGGCGCCTTTCGTCATCTAGAAGTAGGGCTATCGTTGACACATTAGTAGGAGATGGAGATTCAGGAATCCGAAGCGAACTGACGTTGGAAATTGTTGATAAGCGTCTGGGGAAGAGCTGGAGGAATGTTATAGCGGGGCGAATGCTACGATTACCCTGGCATTTTATCCTTGTGCGAAGAACATCTTGCTGTATCCCAAGCGGAACGACGTTAATACGCATACAGCAACCCAAAGGCGCGGTCAAAGACTCCCTTCCAGAAGCATGTCAGAGGCTCGATAACCGCGCTATCGAATGGGAAAATATCAATGAACTGTCAATGCGAGCCGCCCATACCATACGGGCCTGGATTCTGGAAAGATGCCAATGAAACATCACAGCTTTGCTTTGGTACAGCCATGCTTCCTGAAACCGTTGGGGGGACGGACCCTGAATATTGATGCTGATTTTGTTCGACGATGGCTAAATTTAAAAATGCTTGAAGATGTTCGTGGTGAGAAAGGTTCATTCCAAGTTGGCTAATGCTCCCGATACATGCGGCCCGAGGCGGGTCCGTGGCTATGCAACCGCTATCCACTTCAGCTGAAATATTGGGCGATCCGAAGCGTTCAAACAAGGTCTGTGCTAGTCTCTCCTAGATAGACCGAGCTACTTATCAGTCTGGATATAATTGACGTTGTGTAACAGCTGGAGAAAACACCGGAGTACAAATTTTCGTGAGGTCCCCAAGTCAAGCCCCAAGTTGCAGCACGAGTGAGCTTTAGCGATTCGCGCCACATTCTCATATGTCGCTGAGATGAACATTGTGTTTGACGTGCTGCGGATTTGTCCCGCTCTCAAAGTCGGCCGAAGATAATCGAGCCATTGAGAATGCACAGGTATGCGAACGGGAGATTCTCGGTGAGGACGTGCGAACTGCTCTGGACGCGTTAGATAAGGGCGGGACGGGCGCGGTCACTTGGAACCTTGTTGATGTTGAGTAGATTAGCGATGCAGCGTGAGCGAAAGATGAAGAGACGTCAACAGATAATTGGAAGTAGGCTGTTTTGAGATAGCAATATTATTTGTATGAAAGTTAGACTTTGCGAAGACATCATGGGGATCTGTAAGCTGTAGCAAGGATCCTCGGAGCAGTTTTCGGAGTTCGGCCCTCTGGCGGTGTTTCGAGTTGTTGCCGACGTGGACGCAGTGCTTCAAGTTGCTTCCTCCCTCCTCTTTACGTAGTGTCCCGAGTGTTCCGGATTCTGACTCGGAGGTGTCGCGTGAAAGGACGATAATCTTTTTAAATATCTTCTTGTAAATTTCAACGGATAGTGGTGTACTAGAGTCACGGTGAAGGGCAGCTAGAACCTCACGACGTTGGTCATGTTTGGCGTTTCAGGCCATCCAGAATGAGAATATGTGTTCTGAAGTATTAGGCATAACTTACAAGACGACGCGCGGTTCATGGCAGGATGATGATCAAGCGAGTGAGAGAAGACGCATCCTTGCGAACGCGAACGCGAACGGGGATTTTCCGAATGTTCCCACAGCTTTTACGTACACAAGACGTTCCCTCCGAGTCTCCGGCTCATGATCTGAAGGAATGTGTGTGCTCTCGAAGAGAGGATCCAGGACCTCAAACCCGATATTGACATTATCCCTACAAGTACACTTCCTCTACATATTGCCGGTTGACATAACATCTAGCATCAATATAATGGGGAGGTTCTCCATCGATCCTGAACTTGACAAAATCACGACAAGGTATTATCTGCCATTTCCCCCCTGTGGTTACAGTGTTACTCCACTCATTCCTCTCCAGTGCCATCCACCCAATGAAGTCTCTGTGCCTTGCATGATACTCGTTTACCGCCTCCTCGTGCTTCAAGAGGTACGCAACCGACTCCCTTGCCAAAGACGGGTTGTATCCTTCCCCAATCAAGTCGTAGTTGATGACCCCAAGGCCCAATGAGCCGGCCTCAAGTATCTCCCTGCTTACCAATGGGGAAACTTTTGCTGTGAAGCGGATAGGTGATTCACATGCTACAACAAACGCGTCATCATCCAAGGTGCGATGCCAAGTAAAGGAGCCTCTGTGTGGCGTCAAAATGGGAGAATCGTTGACGAGAGAAGCGGAGACGGGGATGATGACAAGGGATAAGCGTAAACCCAGGCCGGTAACTTCCATATTACGGCGTGATCTGTAGGGAATATCGAGGGTGGGGTGACCAACGTAATTCGCGGGAGACCGGGGGAGAGCCTTCGTGTTCGGAATGACAGCATGATTTCCTGCCCAGTTAAGAACACTCAAGTCGCAGCCGGAGAGTATGATGGCTTCGATCAAGCGAGCGAACGCTCTATCTGCACCTTCTCCGTATGCGATTTGGAAGCTGACGCCAAATACACCCATCAGCGAGTAGGCAACGTCCTCGGCGCGAGTGGTCACACGCTTGGCGGCCCATGTCATTCGTGTGTCGACGGCATAAGTAAGAGGGGAGAAAAAGGCAATGTCCAGACGTGGGATTTCTGTGACCTCCGAAATAGACAGGAGCAAGGATGAAGTGGTGTCCTTGTCGTTAACGTCCGACGTGAGTGCTTTCCACCTGGAGTTGAAGAACTTGATCCGCCTCGGCGCGAGCAGCTCCTGCAAAGTCCAACCTCGGAAGAACCACTCGTCGCAACGTAGGTCATCCCGTTGTTCTGTCTGGGAAAGATGAACGATGCAGATGTCGGAGTTTCGGTACCACCTAAACATGGACCGGACGGATTCGTCGAGCTCCGCGCTGCTACTTTTGTCGATGCAGCAGGTGTCCGACCACGCAAATAGATATCCTCTACGCTGTGCTTCTAGGCAAAAGCTGTACAGCTTTGCATACCCAGGTCCACCTTCGACCGAAATGGGCCTACGAGGGATGTGTGGGACACTTGAGCATCGTAATCTGTCTGTTGACTTGCTAGCAAGATCAGCGTATGTGGGCTCTTTGGGTCCCCACCGGTGCGACAAAATTGCATAGCGGACGACCGATGCTACCAGCTCCTCAACGCTAGCCGAGTCCCGTTGAACCAGCTCATCGTCGGTGAGGCTTTCAATCTCGTGCTGATAGTACTCTTTGACGAATCCCCGTTCTACGAGCCTCATCTGCGGGATGTAGATTAACCGTATTGGGATATCGTTAAGAACAAAACGGCTGAACTCGGCGACCACTCCCTGCGTAAGGTAGCCCATTATCGAGAGCGACTGTTGGAAAATGTGGAAAACCTTCTGCATTAGCGGGAAATCCTGCAGTGAAAATGTAAACTCACGTTATAGAACGTCTGGAGAGTATTTATCTTCTGAATTAAGTTGTTGCAATCACCCTGGCCTTTAAGGCGAGGTATTCAAGGTGAGAATCCAATTCGAACGATTTAAATGTTCACCGTGAGGCAGATGACCCTCGAGAGAGATACCCTTACTTGCCTTTGAAGGATGGTCACGGGCATCAAGAAGATATCCAACAGTCTAAGTTTGGTTGTAGTTGATGAGAGCCTGCGAGCCACCTATGTAGCTGGGATAAAGATGGAACGGCAAAACTACTCCGCAGCATAGCCACTCATTTGGACTGTATCGGAACAATAACTATGTCCCACTTCAGGTCGAATCTGCCAAAGGTAAGGCTTCTTCCAAATGTTCCCATGGTGTGACTTGGCGAAGTTTCACCGGTGCTTCTCAAACATATGTAAAGCAGGTATATAGCTCTGGTACCCCAGGTCCTACCCAGGAGCTTGGAAAGTAATGCATATGAAACAATAACGGCCTTAAGTACAAAGTCTAGAGTTACGTCGCGATGAAACACAGAAGTCATCACGATGTTGATACTTGTGCGACTCATCACACATTGAATGTTCTCAAGCTTTTACGATGTTTACAAAGATTGCATCATGTTCGTGATTGTATCGTACAAATTATACACCAACGCTCTAGATATAGTCGTACAAAGATGCACCGAGACAGCCCGAGAGTCCCTGCATCGCCGTAAGAAACCCCCAAACTGATAAATCAAAGAAAGGCACTGGTGCGCGTGATCGGCGTCCGGCCGGCTTTTACCACTGCGTGGGACCAAACCCCTGTTCGGGAATGGGCCACAGCGCGGCAGCATTGGCGTCGGCGGTTTTGAGGAAGACGGTGTTGCCCCACCACTTGGCGATGTTGTTCTGGCCAATCGTGCCGTTCCTGGGGTATTGTAGGCAGAAGAATATCAGGACGATGCCTATGGCGAGGCCCGAGTCGAGAGCGGCGGAGAGGACGTCTACAGAGACGAGGCGTTAGTATGAGTGCCAGAGGATAGATGTTGACGCTTACAGTTGTACTTCGTCCACCAGGAGAAATGGCGCCGACGAATGAGGTACTGGAAGATGAAGCCGACAATACCCCACGAAACATAGTTAACGGCAGACGCGGGCGGGATAAGACCGGTGCCGGTGAATATCACGGGGAAGCTACAAGAATGGGATACTCATGAGTAGCTGTTGCCCAAAGCGATCGAATAAGGACAACTAACTTGACATATCGGATGAAGCTGTTTGGCCACTTGAGCGAGACAAGCCAAGCAACGAATGGACATGCGGCGCCGATGAGGAAAAACCACATTAGCCCATTGTAGATCTGCCCCGACGAGAACTGGCGCTGTGGGCCAATAGCACCCCAAATGATCGACGCAGTGCCGAACACCTCAGTCGAGGGGCAAATGAACCCGTCGGCCTGGTCGGGGCTGCACAGGTCCTTGATGTTGCTGAATAGCCACGACTGCACGCCGAGCTGAACCGTGCCGGCAAGAATGGCGGCGACGATCTGCGCCCAGAACATGACGCGCGGCGGAACCTTCATGTAGTGCCCGAGCTTAAAGTCGCTCGCGAACTGGAGCGCCTGTGCCATGGTAATGTAGCCCCACGTCTTGAACATCATCATCGCGAGCGGGCGACCAGGGAGCGCATATCCAACGATGAGCTCGGTGACGACGTTGAGCCCGACCTGTTGGTTCGTGATGGCCTGGATCATGCCGATCGGGACGATATACACGAACGCGATGATGAGGGAGAGGACGAATCCCCAGACGGGGAACTCGGTCGGCCACACCTCGATGACGATGATGCCGAAGACGAACATGGCGAGGAAGATGATCATATACCACCACTCGGGGACTTGTCTATACTTTGACATCAGGCGGGCGTGCACGTCAGGCTGCTCGTCCATCGAGCGGCGGGATTGCGTCCAGATCTGCTTGCGGAAGAAAAGGACGGCGTGCGTAATGGTGGCTGTGATGGACGCGAACGACAGTCCATAGGACAGAGCGAAGGTCGTTGACAGGAAGAGCGGACTGTACTCTTCGTATGCGGTCGCGTTGAGCGTGTTGTCTGGGTTGAGGATCGCCGTCACGTTGTAGCTGTTCCCGAACCTATCATACGAGCCGCGCGACGAGATCGGTAAATACTTGGAGTACCACGTGTTGGTGTAGTACAGGATCGGCACGAGGAACCAGAAGAAGAACACGAAGCCCGCAACGACGTTCGCCTCGGCCCACCATGGTGTCGACAGGGGCGAGATGGTGTACGCGATCTGCGCCCAGTCGAACGTCACGAGAGACATGCCCAGACCGGTCTGGTACCCGAACAGCTGGTTAACTACGACGTTGTCCGGCGCGATCCAGCAGACCCAGGTGAAGTAAGAAAGGGCTTGGAAGATGTACCCAGGGAAGAAATACCAGCAGACTGCGCCAAAGAAGACGTAGGTAAAGAACCGCTCGCGCGAAATGCCGCCTCTGTTACCGATGCCCGCGTACTGCTGCGCGTGAAGGGTGTTGAATAAAGCGCAGGTGACGAGATTGGTCGGCCAAATCATGGAAGGAGGGTTGACGAGGAAACGACGCATGATGCCACCGACGCTGAAGCCGATGAGCTGAGTCGACATAACAAGCATCCACTGGTAACCGAAGCTGAAAACCTGGTTGTAGTAGACACGCTGAACTGCGACAATGTCGGTCTATGGAGGATGGTTAGATATAGCGAGAGAGATGCTGAGAAAAATATGCTACTTACAGCGTAAGCGGACTGGTAACCAACAGTCGCCATGATAGTGACCAAGACGTGCTCCTTGATGGTGAATGGACCGGGATTTATCGAAACACCGAAGATCTTGACGTTGGGTACTATGCGAGCCCAGAGACGACCCATAGGGAAAGACAGCAGCTGGGCGACGATACCAGTGATATTGACCGAAGGGTAACGGAAGAAGAAGAACTGGTTGAGACCAGGGACGATAATCGTCCAGAAAAGCCCCATGACCCATGCACGAAGGGTGTTACATGGGATGGACTGGTCGTCGGTGTTAGCTACGGCGGAGCGAACCTCAGGATAAGGCGAATCATCCTCTAAACAAATTGTAAGCTCTGGGCCGGAGGCGAGAATACGTGAAAGTACAAACCGAGGACACCAGCTATGGCCTCGTTCTTGTCAATATTGGGATCATCAAAATCCGCAAGAGGTACGGCCTCAATGATAGCTAAAAACGTGGCTCAGTCGCAGCGTGCACGGAATGATAGAGCTAAACATACCCTCAGCCTTCTCATGGTCGAGGCGGTCAAGCTTCTCGAGGGAGCCGATACTGTTGGACCTCTCTGCGACGCGCTCGGTCAACGCCATTACGAGCGAAAAAAGCAAGGCGGTTGAACTCTGAAAAAGAGAAGACCTAGCTCAAAGCCCCCTCCCCGTAGCCGCCTTATGTACCTTTGCCTCCATATCCTACGAAATGTTCCGCCCTTGAAAGTGGAGATAACAGACCATGTTCGGTGCGTCCAAACGCGCGCCGCGATTGGTGGGCAGAGGACAGAAGCGGCGGCCCGGTGCAATTGAGGCATTACAACTCCGCTCGCTGTCTTTGAACCTCACACTTGCGGCAAATCCAGGTACGGCCGAGGTAAGCCAAGGTGTTCGTTCACATGGACCACTTCCCGACTTGATACTCCTCCTCCCAGCGTTCCTGTCTGACGGTACCTCTGAATCTTCTTTGAGGCTACATTGCATCCTTCTGTGTGTTTTAGGACCGCCAAGCCAATACCACTATCAGGTGCAACATGCATGTCCATCAGCACCGTGACAGACACATCAAGGACCTCGCGCGCCCACGGTGCATCTTGTTCCTGTCAGTCGTGCGATACGACACTGTATATCACGACAAATGAGTACTTCAGCCCGGTGCGGACGGCGATCTGCGCTCTCACTGCTGCTGCTCGGAAGCTCGTACGATGATACCGCCACGCCTGGCTCCTTGGGTCTAATCAAGCACGTAATTCACGATATCGACTCACCGTCACAACTAAGTCCTCTAGATTTCCTGTCCTCTGCCGGCAGGAAAAGTACCCGTAAGTTCCGAAGAGTGTCTCCAATTACAACCCGGGCGCAAAAGGTACACCAGGCCGCCACCTTGTCCAGGATAGGTCGGATGCACTGAGGTTGCATCTCCATGTATTCAATTCCTGCCCGAAGTGTGCCATGTGTCTCTTCACTTACCGTTGGGCGTATCTCGTCCGCCACATCCCTTGCCCTGTTCAGTCTCCAATCATGTGAGTCGTGTGACTGATGCGCTAGGCGATAACGTGCTCTGTGGACGAGTCGTTACGTGCCTAGCGCTTGGCTGATTTTGGTATCTGTCAATGTATGTCATAGATGTGATCTGGGAGTGTGTTCTTATCTATCCACAACGCCCGACATCGAAGCAATCAACACAGATGATAAGAAGCTCGTCATATCAGGCCAAATTCAAGCGTGTGTTCCAACTCATCTTAGACACCTTGACTGACGTACATCCTGGCCTTATCCTCAAGGTTTGGGTTCGGGTAATTCGGAGGACCACAGTGATTATTCGGGTGCCTGATCCTCCAACGATTCTTTAGATTTCCGACTCGAGAGCCAATGCAAAGAATTTTTGAGGGTTATGCCGAAGCTCGCTAGCTATTTCGACCAACAACAGAACGAACGCTCACAACTTATTGGTTTGTGCTACAATAACGAATTTACTCTCAGTCAAAGCTAGAGTCACTATCAAAAATATTGTTATTTCCCTACCGCATGATTTGTCAAAGACGCCTTTGGATACGAAACTTGCGCGTGAGCGCAGATGGTAGTGCGATTCGATGCGCCCGACTAGTGCCTGACCTCTAAAAATAAGCCATCATAACGCTGAACGGGCTCGCACACTGTCAGGCATCTAAAGTCGCACTATTACATATTCTAATAATGGTGTTGCATTGAACGGATCAAATAATTCCCTGTCTACATTGCAGAAATCACTGCAATACCTCTCTCCGTTGACCGGTAGTGTTGATAGCCCAATACAACAAAAAACAGTATGTTTGTGATTTGTCGCACCACCGAGCCCCTTTTTTTTTCGCGACCCCGCCAACGTAACTACAGATTGACGAAACTCGGAAGATGCGCCGACGTGCCCTATCAGTACCTGAAATGAAGTTGAACCGCGCTGACGGCGCGGGAGAAATATGCAAGATGGACGATTGCATTTCACAGAGGACCAAAGATAGAGATAAGGATAAGGATTTAAAGGAAGCACACATGGCTCGGGCTTTTCCCGTGAAGGTTTGGTCGGAGATGGTATTGCAACGTCCCAGGATCCCTCGAGTAACTATGTTGGTAAATTCCCGTGCGTCTATTATCGACAGAACAAGGCATGCATTCGCTCACGCCATCGAAGGGTGGCATATATGGAGACTAATAACAAAGATTGCTAATTGATTTTTGCAATGTTGCGTACAATGCGGTCACTACAGTATATTTATATGTAGGGTATCCCGAGATATAAAAGCGTCCGTAGCTACTACACTCGTACCTAGTCTTCCGTGAATTCAAGCTACGACGTTTGCAGACGAGTGGAAGCCAGCGGAAGAGGCGATAGGTGAATGTGAAGGTATAATGACTCGGACACGTACACCATCTCTAACATCTTGGCAGCCGATTTACGCTTCGCTGTGCAAAGCTCGTCCCCCGAGAGCACCGACGATATGAAAGTTTCGAACCTGCCGGCCACTGACGCATACGTGAAATGCGAAGAGACACTGGAATACGGGCTAAGGTAAATATGAACAAACGAAAACAAGGAAGGATACGATTAGATAGAAGGCTCACGGGTTTAAATAAAGTTTTGAAAACGGAACGAAAACAGAATGAGATGATGAATGGATATATGACCGTTCAGCATTAGCAACGTAAAGGTCGAGGAAATAACATGACTTACCAAGCGGGTGACTTTAGAGGGGATCAAGCGAACAATACATTGGATGCCGTTGGATGCCCGACACAGCAAGCGAGTATAGTACTTTATAAAAAAGGGAGAAATGCGAGGACGTTGAGGGTATCATGGCTGGAGCAGGCCGTGGAAGAAGGCAATGGTCAAATAGGAGCAGAGACATGCTCCAGTCGCGCTCGGGGACAGAAAATCAGCCGAGACCAGTATTTACGAGCGAGACGCTGGAGAAAAAAAAACCAGGTGCTAGAATCAGGGTGGTAAGCGACACGAGAAATAGGCTCGAAGCATGTTGAGAAAGTAGAACGTCATTCACAAAAGCAAAGCAAGGATCTGCTAAAAGATGCCGAGAGACGGGTGAAAGTCAAGTGCGTTTAAAATTAGATATTATTTTGTTAAAATTATAGGGTACTACATTAAAAGCAGTGATTATTGAGTTAAAAGTACCTTCGCTCTGCCGTAGACATAGAATCAAAGCATGCAATGGGATAAGGGAAGAAAGGAAATGCGCAAAAAGAAGTCAGGGAAGTTGCCAGCAACTATCCTGAGACCAGATTGCGGACACCATCCCGGTGAACCAGTCTACATCGTCGAATGCTGGCGTCTGGAAATTGGCGAGCTGACCAAGTATGATGATTGACGAGGGGCGGAGAGGAGGGAGCGATAAGACGATAGTGAGCTGAGAGAACCCCGCTTGTTTGAATCGACGAGCGAACACTCGTTGTCCTCTCGGCGAATCACCAAAAACCTTGATGGCGAAGTTGGCGGAGAGGAGGACGAAGTCAGAGGAGTAAACGGCGAGGTGGGAGACGATATCGTAGATGAGCTGGACGATGCTGCGTCCTCAGAATACTCCGTATCATCGCCGTCTGAAGAGAGGGACAGTGAAGCTATGTCACCAGTGACATAGACTGGGCCCTCGAGTAGATCTTCCTCTACCTTCGCCTCTCCAGCGCACATGTCAACGTCGACACCAAGTAAGAAATAGGGCAGGCTACAGAGTTCATTGTCGCGGGGTGATGGGCCGTCGTCCCAAAGATTCGGCAGTGGTCTATCGTCGATGAGCCGACCGACATCGGAGAAGATTGAGACACTGCCGACAGCTGAAGTAAAAGGCCGAGTCAGCGTATGCCGTAGAAGCGTCTTAAAGCGTCACTCACCCTTGTGCTCGGACCCACGCAATCCAGAGGAAGTGGACGCGGACATCGGGAAATAGAAAGAGTTGCGTGTTAAAATCAGCCGGCTGATATTGTCCACTCCGCGCACAATCCCACCCTCGGGCTGGGTGAGGACGACTTGCGGAGACGCATGGAGACCTGCACAACAAACAGTGAACCCGATACATCAGTGGCTACGTCGGGGGGATGATGGACTTGACACGCACTCTTCCTATCGGTAATGTACCGCTCCACACCCTCGAGTTCCTCTTCGCCAAGCCTCCTGAGAATGAAGTGCTTGAGCATGTCATTGGTAGTGGCTTCCTGGATCATGGAGAAGATCATCTCCGAGAGCTGCGCAGAGATGGATACTTGGTCGTCTAGGTCGCCCCCGAGTCTCTCGTTGGTGTACTCGAGCGTCTGAACCTTCAACTCGAACGACGTGATGAGGTCGTCGAAGTGATGGATGTAGTCGACGAGGGGAGCAGTATTGATCTCGGAGGGGTCATGGGAGGATTGCAAGAGGGAATGGGGCGCGGAGGCTGAAGACGAGAAGGAAATTTTTGGAGAGAAATCGGAGTGCAAGGATAAAGTGCAACGAGGTGGAGCAGGCGATAAAGGGAGTGCGGGAGTGGAAGGGGAGGTGGGCGTTATAATGGGAGATAGTATCGGAGATGATGTAGAATGCATGGGAAAGATGGGAAGAGGAGAGGACAAGATCGTTGAGGAAGGCATATGGGGAGAGCTGGGATCGGAATCAAAAGAAGAAGTGACGATTGGGGCAATGGGTATTGAAGTAGAGGGTGACATTGGAGACGATGTAAAATCCATGGAAACGATTGGAAGAGACGAGGACGAGATCAATGAAGAAGGGATGTGAGGAGAACTGAGATCGGACGCGGAAGGAGATAGGGCGATAGGGACAAGGGGGGAGGCATCATGGTGATTGTGATCGCGGAAAACCTGTGATGTCCCAGTGGTTGGTTCCGTTTGCATGCGCTTCAGCGCCTCCATCCGTGCGCAGACCTGTGTGTTGACGTGAAGCAAGGCCTGTAACGCTTGTTCAGACAGATCTGCGCGGTCGGTCTGAGCCTCGACTCGGAGGTTGGCTTCGGTGAGAGCGGTATGAGGGGTTTGGATGTCGGTGGAGGTGGAAACAGAAAGCGACACAGGAGGGGGAAGGACAGCCATGCTCTGCTCGGAGTAGCTCCATGCGATGGAAAGAGCCGGCAGCTTGCGTCCAACCTGACGGGCGTGGTCCCTCTGGCGGTCGACCGTCGCCTCCGCCCGCATCCTAAGCGCTTTCTCGCCCTCCATCCTCTCGTTGGCGTCGTACACTTGCTCCCTTAACGCGTCCACTTCTTCGTCCCGAATCCTGATGCGCTCTCGGCACCTATCGGCTTGGGCTTTGAACGCCGGGCGCAGCGCCGCGAGTTTGATTTCCAAGACAGTGTTGCATGGCTTGGTTGCGCCGAGCTCTGTCGAGATGATGCGCTCGGCGAGCTCGGCGAGCTTAAGCCGCGCCTTGAGGTTGTCGATTTCGGAAACAGTGGACAACCTAGCGTTGATGTCAGTGGATGCTTTATTGGGTTGTAACGCCGACTTCAAAGGCACTCACTCAGTAGGACTGAGATTTTCTTCTCCAAGCTTTCTTCCTTCGGGAAAAGCCCTGCAGCGAAGGTGAGGTCGTTAATAAATGACAGGACTTGGGGAGAAGGCAGTACTCACTTGTTACTCTTTCTGTAGAGCGCTATTGCCCCAACGCCAATCGCGGTAACGAGCGGATTGACAATGACGAACGCGAGCCCGAGGGCGGCAGAGACAGCAGCAAGCAGGTTGTTGAACTTGCGAGACATTGTTGAACGTTGAAGCGTTGATGAGATTTGCTGCGAGTGTGCTGAGGGCGATGTTGGAGCGAAGAGCAAGTGGTGAACTGAAGAAACCTGAAGACAAGACCCTCTTGATATACATCTGGTGGTCGCATGTCAGACTGACCACCGAGACTGAGATCTACAAATAGCCAGTCAATCTCGAAAGGCGCGCGGTCCGATATGTCATAGGACAGACGGAATATGAATCTAGTTTTTCGGTCAGTACTGAGATCACAAGTGACAACGAGACCATACGCGTACCAGAGATCGTTGACATCGAAATTTCTGATGTCACTCAAGTGTTTACAGAAGAGCGGGCGCGGGGGTTGCAGCGTCGTTGGAGATCATCCCACATGGGCGTGTCTAGGTGTTTGAGTCTTGACTGGCGGTAAGGGTTTGCAGGAGGTCGACGATGCGGCTTGGCTCAGAAATATAGAATTTACGAGCATGCAGAATAGGTACCCAGAAAATGAGAAAAAAACACCCAGTGACGATGAAAGTGGACATCAAAAAGACACCTCGATAAGCGCCGTCTCTAACAAGCGCCGGTGTACATTTGTTTCCCACGCTCGCGCGCGGTCGTGTCACGCAGCGGCACCGCGTCTCGCACGTCCATCTAGACTCGTGACCTGTCTCTTCTTATGCGGCCTAATAAGGCAACGAGCCAGGGGCTCTCGCGTCAGAGAGACTGGGACAAAATGTCGACACGCTGGCAGGCGACCGACGGAGTTCGAACTTTTGACCGTGCCGTGGCTGCCGAGCCCCTGTCTCGCAATCACGACGCCTCTGAACGCGTTCGCCCGCCTCACTAACGCGTATATCCCTCGCACTTATGACAGTACCAGCTACACGTATCCTTTATATTATGTTTAATTGTAATATTAGACATATACTTGAGCCTCTGTCTGACAGCGAACACGATTTGCACAAGAAACTCCCACAATCTTTCATCAACAGCCTCACTTTAGAGCAAATCAAGACCATTTTTCGGGCAATTATCTGGTTCGACGCACACCTTTCAGGTAAAAGAACTCTTCTGCAGTTTCAGGTAGAAGCTGCAGTTAATCACCTAGCATTCAAGCACGTAATTGTGCGGGCTGGGATGAAGTATGGCTAGATAGAAAAACAACGGCAGAATAACAAGCCAGACCAGTACCATAGTCAATTCCTGAGCCTAGAGCTCATCTGTTTGCTTTTGAAGATGCTGTACAAGAAAAGCAGCCAGATCAATGGTTACTTGCATGACCTCCTGCACTTGACTGCAGCATTCCTTGTTGAGATCCAAGCTCTCGGGAGTGATGCCCTTTGTAGGTCTGAGAAAGAGCTTGGCTGAGACGCATGCTCCATTTCTTTCAAGTTATCGACAGTAGTGAGTGTGTACATAACTGAGATAGTCATCTAGGTTCAAGCTTTCCATCTTTCGAGAGTTAGAATGACATCCCAGAGGTGGCTGAGAGCTCTCTCCTGGACAAAACCAGAGCAATTTTTCAAGATACCCATCCGGGTCAGCAGTTATGATTTTGACGAGTAAGTCTATCACCCACATAGACATTTTTCTCACTATAATTTCCATAGCAGTGTTAATCTGTTTCTCTCCTGAAAATAATAAAGTCCTCTTTGTAGACGAGATCAATCGCTTTGAGCCCAGCCTCCGAGACAGTATGTAGAAATTGATTCATCCTTGATTTTATAGTAAGAGTCCCTAGCTAATTCAAGTCCTAGTTGAGCAGTCGAGCAGTTGCCTGAGCATAGGGGATACTATAACCTCAGTACAGCGCTATGCGAGTGATTCGCGCAGGGAGGGGGAGCACAAGAAATCGATGGTGTTACAATTGAGCTACTACCTAGGACGCGTCTGTGGACGCGTTGAATACCCTTGACCTAAGATTAGATTACCGCAGGCGATCGCGTCGGCACCACGATGCCGGCTTCGCGAAGCCCTTACCAATCCGTTCCCATCCGCCAATTTTTGAACTCCGTCGGTCGCCTGCCAGCGAGTCGACATTTTGTCCCAGTCTCCCTGACGGGAGAACCGCTTGGTTCGTTGCCTTATTAGGCACCCGCCTGGGAGACTGGTTACGAGTCTAACGTCCATCACCACCACCACCACCTTTCCTCTCTCTGCCTCACACTCTCCTGCAGCGTATGGTGGGCTCTTCTCAACGCACGCATAGAACTGGAGCTAACATCCTGCTTGCCCGCCTTCCCGACAGTCTGCGCTCTTCAACTTTCAGTCCCTCCTGCTGACGATTCTCCTCGTCATCTGCACGTGCACCTACGTGAGGGCAGTTGCACCGCGTCTTGTGGATAGGAACAAGGAGGGGTATGTTTGTGTCGTCTGACTCATCCAAGCGTACGCCTCAATATCTACATCCAGGTTCCTGGGTCTGTTCTTCATGTCAGCTCGGATAGGTGCGTCTTCTGCTGCAACCTCACGTACCCCATCCTTGTTTTGCTTGCCCTCTATGTCCTCATCCTGGTGCGCTGACGCACTGCATCCTCGCTTGCAGGAGAGCGGTTGTCCCCATACGTCGCCATCGCATGCATAACGATGGCCGTGACGATGTTAATGCAGTAGAATTACAACGCCCTAATGGTATGCACATAATTTACGGACTACAGCCAATCAAAAAGCGAACGAACGAAAACAAGGAGTCTAATCGCTACAAGGCACGCGAAGCCACATCATGCCCCGACTCTCCGCCGCCTCCCGCCTCCCCTCCCCTCATCCTCCCCGTCCTGGTCCCCCCGTCCATTGGCATACAGCGCCGACGTTGACCGCTGTGCCGTCCTTTCCACGATCGACGTTCCGTCCCTGAATCTCGCTTTGAACAACACATTCGCGTTCGTGAATAGCCCCTCCTTGAGTGACACGACAATGAACTGCGACCCTTTGAAACGCGTGCGGAACAGCTGCCCGATATGCTGCGTATGCGACAGGTCCAGCGCGGCGTCGATCTCGTCCAGAATGTACATCGGCGCGGGCTTGAACTGCAGCAGCGCCATGATGAGCGAGAGCGCGATCAGTGAGCTGTCCATGCGCATTTTGTTAGTGAAGTGGGAACGGGGAGGCGCGGGGAGAGGGAAGGGCTGACCGTTGACCACCGCTGAGCTCCGTCAGACTCTGCTTCCACACGCTCCCGAGCCGGACCTTGACCTCGAGGCCCTGCATGAGGTCCTGGTTTTCTGGCGGACGAAGCTTGGCGTAGTTTCCCGGCAGCAGCTCCGCGAAGATGTCGCCAAAGTCACTGAAGTCGGCGAGAATAAGAATGAGCAACGCGAAACTTGGCACGAAAGAGAAGCGACTCACTCGCTAACCTTCTCCCACGTCTTGGTGAGCGCATCGCGCTTGTACCGATCGAGCTCCTCAATCGTCCCCTCGATCTTCTCCTTATCCTTCATCACCGTGCCCAGCATCTTCTTCAGCTCCGTCTCCTTCTTCTCAATGCTGTATCCGTGTTCCATTCAACACTCGTTGCGTGAGAAGCAGAATGGGGAGAAACGCACGTCTCGATCACATTCATCACCTTCGGATTTACCTTCTTCTTGAGCTTCTGCTGCTGTCCCTCAATGTTGTCCGCCTGCACCTTCAGGTCGTCGATAGCTATCCTCGCAAAATCGTACTGTGAGCCCTCTTTACCGAACAAGCTACACCGGGGTTATCGTCAGCGCAACGATCAAGACGTCGCCGCCGCGGAAAATACGATACGCACTGCTTCTCGTCGGAGATCCACGGATACGACTTCTCGAGGTGCGCCACCTTGGTCTCCGCGGCCGTCTTCTCCTTCTCGAGCCCGACGAGCTCGACCTCGAGCTTCTTCAGGTCGAGTTCGGTCTGTGCCGCGGCCACCTTCTTGTCCTTGATCGTCTCCTCGAGCGCTTTCAGCTCGTTGTCGAACTGGACGAGCGTCGCCCGCTCCGCTTGCAGCCTTTCTTCGGCCTCGGCGTGTTTGGTCTATATGATAAAGTTGCCGTTAGTAATAGTAGAAGTGGGGGATAGATACCGTTGCGTCGAAGAGAAACGATATGTTTACCATGACTTTGCCGTGCGTCTCCTTGAGTTTCTCGAGGTCTTTTTGCTCCTTGGCGATCGCAGCTTCGAGCGAGGCGATCGTCTTCTGGGTAGTGGTGATGTCGCCCTCCATTTGCTCTAGAGCAACGTGAGCACAACCCACACGCTTCTCTAGGACGGGCCTACCGTATTCAAGTCTGGCAGTCTGTGCATCCTTTTGATGTGTCTTGACCTTGACAGCGTGCTTTTGGAGCTCAGCCTTCTGGTTACCGATCGTTTTCTGAGAGAATGTTCATCAGCGGTTGAGGCTTTGAGCGAGGAAAAGATGTACCTTGAGCTCGTCAATCTTGCCCTCCTTGTTGTTCTTGAACTCGGCCATGTCCTTCTCGAGCTTCTTACATTCCCGCGCCGCCTCCTTCTGCTTCTCTTGCGCGTCCTCGACCGCCGTCTGGAGATCCGCGATGGTCTTGCGAAGGCCTTCCACCTCGGTGTTGATCTATCCGCACCCACGTCGCATCAATGCCGCTGTAGACCACCTCGAAAACACGGGGAAACTCACCCGAGTCGAATTACTGCCCCCAACCTGCTGCTCCAACAACGCAACCTCGTGTTCCTTCATCTCCAAGTCCCTCGCCAGCGTCCTCCACTGATCCCGCCTCGCCTTATTCCGCTCCGCCTCCCTCTCCAGCCCCGCCAGCGCCTCCTGCGCCCCCTGCAGCTTCCGCTCCGCCTCAATCAGATCCTGCACCTTCACGAGCACGCCGTTGCCCGTCGGCGCCGAGCCGCCGCTGAGCGTGCCCGACGGGTCGTACACGTCGCCCTCGAGCGTGACGGACTTCACTCTCGCGCCGAACGTGACGGCCTTCGCGGACTCGGGGTCGTCGCACACGATCGTGTCGCCGAAGACGTAGGCCATCGCTTTGCTCACGTCTTCCGGGTAGCCGACGAGCGAGAGCGCGAGGTTGGCTTTGCCGGGCGCGAGGCGTTTGGCTTCGGCGAGTTTCTGCGTCGCCAGTTAGCTGGCGTGTTATGAACAGGATGGGAGAGGGATTAGATGGGCGTACCTGAGCCGAGAGCGTGAATGCGTTGATCTTGTTCAGCGGGATGATCGTCACGCGCTTCTTGAGCCGGCCGTTCTGGAGGAGGTCCTTACCGACGCGCTCGTCCTCGACGACGACGTTGTATAGCCGAGCGCCGGCGGCGACCTCGAGCGCGGTGGCCTTGCCGTGATGCTGCTGGGGAATGGAAATAAGTTTCGCGATGAGACCTTTGACCTTGCGGCGATCGAAGTTGGGGTGGGGCGTAGAGTACTCGAAGTTGAGGGAGGGGAGGCTTTGGGCGCGCATGTCGCGTTCCTAAGAGGCTCATACTAAGTATGATTGTTCGATAACGAGAAGTGAGAACGGTACTCACCCTGCCGAGTTGATGCATCTGTTCCTTCGCAGCACGCATCTCCGTCTCCATCTTCATCTCGAGCTCGTTGCTCCACCCACACGCTGCAATCGTCCGTCGGGCCTTCTCCAGCTCCCCGCGTTTGCTCTCCAGCTGCATCTTACTCTGTCCCGCCTCCCGCTCGACGTCTCTCCATCGGCCTTCCAGCGCACTCAGCTCCTTCTCCCTCATCGCCATCTTGGTTCGTATCTGTTCCACCTCGCCAGCAGCCGCCGCCCCGCGTGTCCGAGCGTCGGCGAGCTGGCCCATGTAGCCGCCACCGGTGTTGTTCGAGCTCGACGAGATCCCAGTGAGCAGCGTCTGCAAGAGCTCCTCCGAGTTGTTGAGCTTCGTCTGTTCGGCCTCCTGCTGCTCCTTGACCTTCTGGTACGCCCGCTCGCGCTCCTCGACCTCCGACGTCTTCTGCTTCAAAGCCTCACCCAGTTCCTCCAGCTCTGTCCGCTTCTCGACGACCTTCTTCTCCTCGTCCGCGATGTTGCCCGTGCGGATGTCAACCTGCGTCCGGATCTTCTCAAGCTCCTTCTCCATCTCCGCAACGTCCTCCTCTATCTTCTTGAACTTCCCGCCCTTCTTCCGCTCCTTCTCCCGCCGCGCGTTCACCTCTTCATGCTGACTCTCCGCCGCCTGACACTCCTTCAACAACCGCTTCTTCCGCTTCTTGTTCTCCTCGATCTCGCCATTCTTGCCCGCGACGAGCTCGTCCGCGTCCTCGATCCTCTCCTGCGCATCGAACCAGTCGTGCGCGCGCAGCACGCGCCCGAGCCGCTCGAGCTCCGCCGTGTTCTTCTGCCACTGCAGGAACGTCCGCTTCTCCTCGCGGAGCCTGTCGAGCTTCGGCGTGATCTCCTCCGCGAGGAGCGAGTTGATCTCCTGCACGCGGTTGTCCTTCTTCGCCATCGTCTTCTTGGCCTTGTCCTTGCGGTCCTCGAACATGCGGGTGCCGGCGGCCTCTTCGACCATGCCGAGGATCTCTTGCGGGCGCATGTTGAGCACCTATGTGCGTGGAATGCGGTGGAGTATGGTAAGTTCGGGTGAGGGCGGTAAAGGGGGTGGGTATATGCGCGTGTATGCGTACCTTGGTGATGCGACCTTGCATGATGAGGAAATTGGGGTTATTGATGTTGAGCTGCACACTCTGGAAGAGCGAGTGGACGGCGTTTTGTTGGGCCTTGTGACCATTGACGAGGTACTTGGTGGCGTTGGGTAGGGCAATCTAGCATCGCGCATATATGCATGTGCTTGAGGAAAATGGCGTGCCCACAGAAGGCTGGTGACGCACCTGACGAGTAACCGTGATCTGACTGCACATCTCGTATCCTACTGGACTCTTGTCCCTATCCGAGTTGTCGAAGACGATGGTGACACTCGCTTTGGTGACGCCTGCCTGACCACGTTTGTAGATGAGGTCCTGCTGGTTTTGTGCTCTCATCTGGGAAGAGGGATCGCTCGTCAACTAATAATATGTCGATAGATAGGCCTACACACTTGAGACATGTTGGTAATGCCGAGGACGAAGCATATGGCGTCGAGAATATTGGACTTGCCCGAGCCATTAAGACCCGTGATTGCGTTGAAGGACGCATCCCAGCCAGTGATCTGTGTCCGCACAGGATAGGACTTGAAGCCTAAATGTCAGTCGAGTCGTTAGAACAACCACGGCGAGTTAAAGGCCAACGAACCTTCGAGGACGAGTTCTTCGATCCGCATCCTGTTGTGTGGTCAACGTTGAGCGCGACGCGACGCGTGCCGCGTGATTGGGTCGGAGTCTGAAATAACGCCACGCTCCCAAGGCCCCCTAACACCGCCCCCAAACTCTAACTTTAGTGTTCCCGATGAGTCACCAGCGTCTACTGAACATAGCATGGGCGTCTGCATAAGCATTTGTGAGAATGGCGATGAACAAAAAGCCCGCGTCTTGCCTCCTGATAGCTGACACCCCCTTCAGCCTACTGGACATCATCACTCTTTCCAAAGCTTACTCTTAATGTCCGCCTTTGGACCCATGGTTGTCATGTCGGGTGTAATCCATTCTCCGAAAGCAATGCTCCGGGAGACCCCGAACGCCAGACCTCTTTTAGCTCTTGCCATCCACAGTCAGCCAGGCATCCGTGCCGCCCTTTGTCCCTGCACCCATCCATCCATCCCTGTCCCAGGCCATTCCCCAGAGGCGCCATGTCGCTGTCTGATTACTCCGATTTAACCGACTTGTCTTCGGAAGAAGAAGAGTACGTCCCGAACAAACGCAAGAAGTCGACAACGACCACCAAGAAGACGGATTACAAAATGGATCAGACCCTTCAACCGCCACGTACCACCCAGTACACTGCTAAGCATCTGTATGGTGTGTGAACCGGCTGCTATTGTAAAGACTCGACGCCATGGCTAACTATCCTACCCAAGACCAGATCATCGACAGTGCGATAGACCTAGATCCAGAGTATCAGCGAGGTGCGTGGCGGTATGCACTGCCAGTACAGCCTCATTCTGACTTTGGTGGACTTCTCACACAGACGTGGTATGGCCCGAGTCCAAGCAATGTGGTCTCATAGACTCCATCCTCCGCAATTATTACATTCCACCCGTAATCTTTGGTAGGGCCCGTTTCTATGCGCTGAATTGTGCTCACTCCACCGTTTTGTCTAGCCGTGTCTTACAATGAGGATGGTAGCGAGCTGCGAACGTGTATTGACGGAAAGCAGCGGCTGACTTCCATTCAGAGGTATGAATCACAACGTACGGTGATACATAGGCAGTTAACACACTCCCAGGTTCTTCGACGGGCAGGTCAGTGAACCGGTTCTAACGCTGTATAATAGACTTACCTCGCTCTCACCTCGGATGGATCAGATTTCACGTGAGTGTCTTAGAACTCAATCCTTGTACTCGGTTTAACTTCGCTTCCTTTGCTTCTCAGATAAAGACACGTCAGTCTATGCTCTTCTTTTCGGCTGCGCTCTGACATCCTTGTAGCCAAAAAGGCGGCAAGTATTGGTATAAAGATGCCAGCGGGGTGACCCGTCGAAAGCTCTTGCCACCAGCATATAGAAGCCAGTTCGCAAACAAGCAGATTGTATGCGTCGAGTACACGTCGCTGACCGGAGACCAAGAACGAGAGATCTTTCAGGTATGGCTCATCGATGATCCTGAACACGTGTTTGCCTCGTTTACCGTCCAAATTTAGCGCGTACAGCTAGGAATGGCACTGACACCCGCAGGTGAGTGCCTACTTACCTCCAGGAGGCGCCCCCCATGGCCATACTCATTCTCGAACCTACCAGAACGTATGCAAGCGCTCGTTGGCGTTTTGCCTTCGCTCGTCAGGGAAGTTCAATCGCAGATACTGGGTGAGAGCGGTTTCCAAGGCTGCCTTGATTGGGGTACATCCCGTGGCCGTGACTTTCACTGTCTCGCATCGATTCTGTTCATGATCCAACACCTCCCCAAGAAGACGTTCCCCGGTTCATCTCAGCTCGAGAAATGGCTCTCAGAGACCGAATTGCTCAGCGAAAGGCTTCGGACGGACTTCATGGAGATCTTCAGCGTGTTCATCTATCTTGCTCGGGACAAGCACTACAACGCGTCGCTGAACAAGCCGTCGCGCGTTTCGCCGATTGAATTCATCATGATCGGCGTGCTGATTCATAAGTACCGCACAAAGCTCACGATGACGCAGCTTTCGTCTGCGGTGCAGCAGATGCGGTCGCACGTGCGCGTAACCTTCACAGACATCCGGTCGAATACCAAGGTTACGAGGACATTGCTGGATTTCATTATCAACGTCGATATGGACGTGCTCAAGAGGGACCCGAAGGACAAGCTTAATGCGACTGACAAGGCTGCATCTATGGCATCGGTTAAGTTTTCCACTAAGCCTCCTCCTTCTAAGCGGAAACGGGCGGCATCGGAGGATCTCGAAGAGAGCGATGGTGAAGACCCTGATGATGTTGCTGATGACGATGACGAAATGGACGTCGAACCGGAAACCCAACCGAAGAAGAGAGGCCGTCCCCCGAAGGCTGCAACGACCAAGGCCGCAGTGGCCAAGACGACGAGTGCGTTTTGTTTGCGATAATACCTGACCTTTGGATTTAAGATTATCTGGCGATTGTAGAAGCAAAGACAACAAAGGCAAAGGCTGCAACCAAAGCAACCGCATCGTCAACGAAGAAGTCTGCTGGCACTGGTAAGAAAACTTCACCTAAGGAAGCATCGTCGTCTGTGAGGACATCCCCTGCCTCCCAAGTTGAGCCCACGTCACCTCAAGCCGCTGCCGCGGTACCCTTGCCGAAACTTAAAAGGAAAACGAATGCTGCTGTGGCTGGCGACACATCAAAAGGATCTTCTCCCATTGGCCAGAATGCCGTGTCTGGCTCTCTTGCTGCACCTCCAGATGACACGAAGCCCGCGCTTTCTCCTCCCCCGCCTATTGCTACTTTGCCTACCGCTGAGAATGTAGAGATGAGTGACGGGACTACGGGTAACACGTCAGCTGCCACGTCATCTGTCCCTGACTTGAAGGTAAACACCGAGAAAGCGTCGCCGTCGGTTGTCAAGCAAGAGCCGTTGGCTCCCCCGCCCCTGTCTACTCCTGCCTCCGCAATTGACAAGCTCGCACCTATACGAGCAGCGAGGGCTGCCCTTCTTCGCTCCGGTGGCTCGGCTTCTGCGTCGACTTCTCAGGTTGGATCCCCCGTGCTCGCTAATGGCGATGGCTCGCGCGCGGGCAGCAAGGCCTCCAGTGGTACACCTCCGTCGATTACTAGGTCCCTTCCCCATCTGAACACGTCTGGAACTGGTAACCATACACCTTCGATCGGGTCGCCGCTGACGACGTCGGCGCACAACGGCGCATTCACTGCGGAACCTACGTCATTTCAGTCTCAGTCTACCCCGCAATCGCCACATCTTATCAATGCTACTACGGCGTCGCAGCAACTTAAACCATTGATAGGACAGGAGATCACGCCAGCGTCTCTTGAGGAGATCTTGAAGAGCGCGGGCCTCAGCCTCCAGCAGGCTCACTCGCTCAGCCAGGGGGCAGCACAGTTCGCTGGTGTAAACCCTAATGCATCCAACGGCTCTCCTGCAATGGCAGCTCCCGTCAACGGACAGAATGGACACGTGCCGTATCCGAATTCGGGATATCCTCCTCCTCAGCAGCAATGGTCGCAGCCTCAGACCCCCGCACATAATGGTATATCAAACGCGCCTAACGCCCCCGTTCCACCCGTATTCGGGGCAAACGGACTTTCGCCAGAAGCATGGCAGAGCGTGCAAAGCGCGATGAACAGTCTTGGTCACCAACAACAGGGTGTTGCGCCCGCTCCTCCCCTTCCTCCTCATGCAAGCATCCCTGCATATTCACAGCTCCCGCCCCCGCCTGCTTCGGCACCTGCGTCGATCCCGATCCCGTACAATGTGTCTGCGTCCGTGTCCGCGCCTGGGAATTACAGCCACTCCCACACCCACCCTCATCCGCATCCACATGCAGTGCAGGGATCCTCGCCCCCCTCCCACGCTCAGATGCCGATGGCGCCGCCCCCGCCCTCGGCCCCCGCGAGTTACCTCGGTCGCGAGCGTGATCGAGGTGTCGGTGCCGGTGTGCGCGACGAGCCGTACGATCCCACGCGGCGCAATAGCGATTTCGCGGTACCCTACCCGAGCCGCGAGCGCGAGCGGGACACCGATAGACGCGCGCGCGACGCGTCGCCGTTTTCGCCGCGCGGTGGTGGTGGGGTGAGGCGCGCGAGCGACTATGATCGTCGCGAGCGGGAGTATCCGGGGCGGGCGTACGATGCTGGGCCCGGCGCTGGTTCCGGGTCGGGTGGGGCGGCTGCGGTTGCGCCCGGCGCGCGGAAGCCGTATGAGCCGCTTGGGCGGCGGGAGTCGGGTGGGGGGCTGGGGAGGGGAGAGAGGAGCTTTGAGTGGGACAGAGACGGGCGTCGTGAGCGGGACAGGGACTTGGACAGAGATAGAGATAGGGAGAGGGATGGTGGGGAGAGGGGGCGAGATAGCAGGTTTTCGGGGTGGCAGAGCAGGGAACGGGGGTTTGATCGAAGGAAGTAGTGGGTTGGGCTTAGCTTGGAGGTGGTGGTCGATAATGGAAGCGAAAGTGTCAATGGCTCTACGACAGCGATGCGGTCGGGTAGGGCGAGGCCGCGGTGGACACGCGAAGCCGGTACTTAGAATGGTTTCGGTAGTTCATGTAAGGCCTGGTTATATTTGCCGTGCTGCTGTGGTGCTGGTAGATAATGGATGGATGGATGGTGCTTGCAGGATGGTTCGTATACTTCCTTCTTTTGCTCTTTCTCCTTTCCGTTTCTTTTTATTCCCTTCGCATTCTTGCACCCGGAGAAACTCGAGGTGGTAGTACAAAGAACAGATGTTATGGTAGAGTCGTTAATACCGATAATGCACAAGTCTACATATCTACACAGAGCAAGTGGTAATACCTAACTAAACATTAACGTGAAATGGAATCAAGAAGTTCATTGCATCTTAAGATGCATCAGCTACTAGATATCGTAAAAGTCTCGCAGGGATATACCAATCCCACATCCTCAAATAAAGATAAAACAGATCAACAGATCAATAAAGCAGACCAAACCCAAGCACAACACCCGCAACCGCCATAACCACCCGACTTGCAGCCGCTCCAACACGCGCACTGTTCGCGCCCGGCGCGCCCGCCTGGACCCAGTCGCTCCACGCGGCCTGCAGATCGAGGACAAACGCCTGACCTTCGGGGCTCTGTGCTCCTTCGACGCCCCATGAGTCGGGGTTCACGACGGGGGTGAGCCATCCGTCAGAGGTGAAGTGCAGGAGGTTTTGCATCGGATTTGTGGCTGGGGTGGACGATGGAGATGCGGAAGTGGAAGCGGGAGTAGACGAAGGTGTCTCCGATGATGATGATGGCGAAGATGTGAACGTTGCGCTGGATGTGGACGTGGGGCTCGACGTTGCACCAGAGGAAGGGGAGGCAGTCGGCGTAGCCGGCCACGGCGGATAGGTCTTGACATCGACGGTGTCGCTGCTGTTCGCAGCGAGCGCGCGGCGGACCTGCTCCGCGATGGGGATGTGTGTGTGCACGTTCCAGAGCTGCGAGAGGCGGTAGACGGTGCTCGCGAGCAGCGCGGCGGAGGAGGCGTCGTAGAACGAGTCAGGCTGGTCGACCCAGTTGTAGAAGAGGCCGTTTGTGTTCTGGGACGTGCGTGTCATAGGGGTGAAGAAGCAAAATGATGAGAGTTGAGGTGGCACGGTAGGATGAAAGTAGCGTTAGGAAGCTGAAATGAGGAGAAAGGATAGACGTACGAGGTACGAGTACATCCCGCCGTGAATCTCGCCGATCCACGCTGCGAGGTCGGATTGGAGGTTGTACATCTCGTTCGACCACTGCGACCTTTGCATGGTCGCCAGAACGCGAAGCATGCCAGCGGCGGCCCATCCGTTACCTACCGCATTTCAAACTAATGAGTCACACAGAACCGACGCAGTAGCAAGTGTATGACGCACCAGTTGCCCAATGTCCCAGGTCCTGCCCGCTCCCAAACAAAACGTGCTTCCAAAGGTTCGACTTCTTGTCACGCAGGTAGTTCCTGTAGAGACTGATCTGGGTATATGCTTCGAGCAGCAGGGTCTGGTTTCCAGTTACGACGCCATAATATGCAAGAAATGGAGGGACCATATAGACTGAATCGCTCCTGCGACAATCCGTGAGCACCCACTCCACACACATACAAGAACCGCGACGCACCAAAGCTGCAACTCCGCCACCCGATGCGAAATAGCACCATCGCTCGTCTGCGGCACCCTGCTCATTATAAACTCCAGCTGGTCCCTCGCCGCACCCGCATAATCCAGCCCATCGCTTGCCCCCTGGCCCGTCCAGTTCGCGAGCAGCACCGCGACGCCGATGCTACACGGGTCGCCCGCTGCGGCATCCGCAATGAGTGGTTGCGGGCCGGTGATATTACCGTTGCTCGCCGAGCGGTTGGCTACGGTCGTTCTGGCGATGTCGAGTACGGCCGTGAGGTTGACGCTTGGCGGGATTGTTTGGGGTGGTGGGAGTGGTGAGGGGTAGAAGACGGAGTAGGAGGGCGCGGTGAGTTCGAGGAGGGCTTCGGCGCGAGTGCCGTATTCCCAGCTGGTGTGGGGTGGGGTAGTCAGCACGTGGATATAATGTAAGGTTTAGCGATGTGTGATGGTGGTTCGGACGGTGGAGGTGGCAGCGTCGTGCAGGGGAGGACAGTTGCTCGGAATGGGACGACTGACCTGTGCGACGCGCCAGCGGCTAGCTGGTTTTGGACGACGACAAGCTGTTCATCGGTGAAGTTCTGTGCAGTGACGCCGCGAAAGAGCCAGCACTCTGCGAATAGGGTAAGGGCCGCTCCAAGAAGGAGAGGGCTTCGCATCTAGCCTCGTGTACCGGGCTGAGGGGCGGGATAAGATGAGAAGGTCGAAATGAACCAAAGGTAGAAATTGAAGCACCTTTGCGAATTAGAAAGCGTCAGCGTTAGCTTTCCAGGGCCAGGTTGTCTCCCGGTGACTAAAATAAAGTAAGGCAGCAGATGGGCGGCGGGGCGTGGGTATGCTAGCACATCCGGGTGGATGTTTTACCAGCGGGCTGAAACAAGACGCCATATGAGGCCATGTTTCGCCGAGACGGCCTCGGGCTGCCATCAGCTGGCATTGGCCGCGCGCACTTGGTAAGGCGTGCTGGGAGGGGAACCGGATCTGTGCGACGTCATGAGGCATCGACCGGCAGATGGCTCGGCGTCCCTCGGGCTGTGCAGGCTGCTTTCTATGTCTGGAAAGCAGCCCGCGGCCGCAGACTGAGCGTCTCCTAGCTAGTGAATATGTACTTGGAGGATGTAGGAAAGGAACTGGATGAGGGGCATGCGCAGAAGCAAGAGAACCTGGTACATTACCCAAAGGTCTGTGATTGACTTCGATCCAGGGGCCAGGGGACCTTGAGCAAGCTTACGACCCTGACTCAGGGGCTCCTCAACGCCGCGGAGTTTGCCGAGTCGGAGTCCAACTTCGTGCATCTTCGCTTTCTCTGAAGCTTGCTTTTGCTATCAACTTGCATATCGCCTACTTCAGAACAGAATCCAAGCTTGTAAGCTCTCTTTCACATGCATATGGTTATGTATATCTCACCTCTTCTGGACATCTAAGGTCAACTACTGTCTTGGGTAACGTCCCCCCTTCAATCAAGCTTTTTCTTCTCCCGGCAATCCGCATCTATTTATGTTTTCTCTCAGGGCGGACACCAGAGGTCAAAAAGACACATGATCATATCTTATCTGCAGTCTCCAGCATACATTACCTCTCGGGACCTGAACCGCGTCAATGTTATCATATCTTTGCTCCGTCTAGTTATCGTCACTCGTCGCGAGCGTCCTCGCGGAGCACACTTGTAGCCGTCTAATACCTCCCGTTACTCTCCATGACTGACTCAACGTATACTGGACACAAGCTTCTCATCGCCAACCGCGGCGAAATCGCAGTACGCATCATACGCACCGCGAAGCGTCTCGGGATACCCACTGTCGCCGTCTACACCTCCTCAGACTCCCTATCGCCCCACGTCTCCCTCGCGAACGAATCCGTCAACCTTCACGATCTCGACACCGAGACCACAGAAGAGAAGCTAGCAGAGCCGAGGGTATACATATCCATCAGCCTCATTCTCGCAGCATGCCGTAAGACCGGCGCTACGATGGTCCACCCGGGCTACGGCTTCCTCGCTGAGAACGCAGAGTTTGCGCGAGCCGTAGTCGGCGAAGGCATCGTGTGGCTCGGACCACAGCCCGACGTGATCGAGGCGATGGGTCTCAAGCACGAGGCAAGGCGGCTCGCGGAACGAGCTGGGCTGAGTCTCGTCCCGGGATCAAAGGGCTTGGTGACGACTGTCGACGATGCCCTGTCTGTCGCGGGGAGCGTTGGGTTCCCAATAATGTTGAAGGCTACCGCGGGAGGCGGAGGAATGGGGCTGGTGATCTGTGGCAGCGAGGAGGAGCTGAAAAATCGGTTTGAGCCTACGAAGGAGAGGGCGAAGGTGAGCTGTCCAACTCGGTTTATCGCCTATGTCATTTGGCTGATGTGTCGTGGACAAGGCGCTCTTTCACAACGACGGCGTCTTCATTGAGCGTTATTACCCCTCCGCTAGACACATCGAAATTCAGGTGGGTATATGCGCCCTCTTCGCTGTAGCTCACTCACTATCGTGCCCTCCAGGTCTTCGGTGATGGACAAGGGAACATCGTTCACATGGGCGAACGAGAGTGCAGTGTGCAACGGCGACATCAGAAGTAATTGAAGAGGCTCCCAGCCTATACCTGCTTCGTCATCCAGAGCTAAGATCGAAGATCTGCGGTGCAGCCGTGCGGTTGTGCGAGTCTATCAGATATTCGTCCGCAGGTATGGTTACGTCCAAGGTATAATTCAAAAGATGAAACTCGCGCTCGATTTCACAGGCACTGTAGAGTTCCTCGTCGATGACTTGACCGGCGACTTTTTCTTCCTCGAGATGAACACTCGGATTCAAGTGAGCGCATACACCCGCCAACGCTCTCGTTCTGCCATGCTGATCTACCACTACAAGGTCGAACATCCGGTCACGGAGTGCATACATCCAGGTCTCGACCTGATCGAGCTAATGATTCTCCTTGGAGTGGCAACCTCGAACAGTACCGAGATTCATGCTTCTGTGTTTGACCAGAGCGTGTATGATGCTAACATTGCGCTCGGCACGCGCCATGCGATCGAGGCCCGTGTTTACAGCGAGAACCCGGCTGACGGGTTCAAGCCATCTCCAGGGGTGCTTCAACATGTCAGCTTCGGTGAAGAGGAGTGGCTACGTGTGGATCACTGGGTAAAAGTTCCCAACAGCCATCTTGCCTCTCGCGTGATAACTCATGGTATGTCGCAGATATCCAGAGGGACGACAGTCACTCCTCATTTCGATCCTCTCCTGTGCAAGGTCATCGTAGTTGGCAACGACAGGGAAGAAGCGATTCAGCGAATGTCTCAGGCTCTCAGCACATGCGAGATCTATGGTCCACCAAACAACGCTTCATACCTCCAGGCGATCTGCGCAGATCCTATATTCTCAGAGGGACGGGCGACAACCACGTTCTTGGACACATTCGCATTCACGCCAAGGCGAGCGACACGTCTCTTTCACCTCATTGCTACGCTGACATCACATTGCTTTCAGAGCCCTTACAGTTCTACACGGCGGCATAGAAGCAACAATCCAAGACCTCCCCGGGCGCCATGTCTCCCTCGGCATCCCGCGCAGCGGGCCCATGGACGCACGCGCCTTCCGCGCCGCGAATGTGCTCGCTGGCAACCACCCGCACACCGCCGCGCTCGAGATCGTCGTGCTGCCCGGTGTGCCGTTCAAAGCCAAGTTCCACGTTGCCGCCGCCGTCGGTGTGGCAGGGAAGCCCGTCGGTCTGCGTGTGGGCGGGAGAGATGTGCCGATGTGGGCGGGGTACTGTGTTCCCGCTGGGTGTGCAGTTGAGATCGGTGTGAGCGCAAAGCACGGGCAGGCGCAGGGCGATACACCCGGATTTAGAGTGTATCTCGCGGTGCGAGGTGGATTTCCGGAAGTTCCGGAGTATTTGGGGTCGAAGTCGACGTCCATGGGTCTTGGTGGTTATCAGGTGTGTGTTCATCTCGGAGCGTTCCTCCCTGACTCCTCTCAGCTGCTGACATACGACGCAACCTGTAGGGTCGAGCTCTCCTCACAGGCGACCAACTCGCCCTCGGCAATGACTGCTCTTCGACGCCCGAAGAGCTCCAGTCTTCTTCACCGTATCTGCTCCCTCGAGAGCTCGTACTAGCGTACTCGCAGCGCTGGACCGTCAAAGTCCTTCCGGGACCACAGGACGACGCGGAGTTCCTCACCCCCGAGGGCCGAGCGAGGTTTTACAGCACAACGTGGCGCGTCAGCCCGTCGAGCAACCGGATGGGTGTCCGGCTCGAACGGTTTGAATATGATCAGACAGTCGAACACGGCGGTGCTCTTGACGTCAGCGAGAACGCTGAAAGCGGTGGGAAGTCAGCGCCATTGGGAATAGGCTGGGCCCGCCCCGACGGCGGCGAAGGTGGCGCACATCCGAGTAATATCCTCGATAACGGGTATGCACTGGGGACTGTCAACGTGAACGGAGACACGCCTGTCATATTGACGCAGGAGGGCCCGGATATGGGCGGGTACGTGTGCTTGTGTACGGTTGCCAGTGCCGAGCTGTAAGTTTCCTTATTTCTTACTCCTTGTTGGTATAAGATACTGAAGGATGTATGCATGTGGATAGGTGGAAGATCGGGCAGCTCAGTCCCGGGAGCGTTGTTAGGTTCGAGCCTGTTTCTTGGGACGTTGCACGGGAGCTGCACGAGGAAGAGGTTGCATGGGTCAACGCGGTCGAAAGTGCGGTTCGATCTCGCGTGGGTAACTCGGAGTGGAAGTCAAGGCGATTTTCGGTCCCAAAGCTCGAGGAGACATCTGCGATTCTGCTGCGAAAGGCCCGAAATTCTGAGGAGGAAGGGCCGAGTGTCACGTTCCGCCAGGTACAGTTGCTAACATCACTCTGCATAAGTGTATGCGGACTCTGACTACAGACAAGGCTGGAGACTCTGCGATTCTGGTTGAATACGGAAACATGCATCTCGATTTCCACATCCGCGCCCGAGTACACGCGCTCGAGCGCGAAGTTGCTCGTCTCGGGACACCGGGTATACTCAGCTTCAGCCCGTGTATACGGTCTACACTGGTAAGCAGAACAATGCCACATTCACCGTCCTCACTGAACCCGTCTAGATACACTTCGACCACTCGATAATCTCTCAATCCACTCTGCTCGCTGCCCTTGCGTCCGTAGACACCTCCCTCCCCGCGTCGATCTCCAGCGTCACGTTCCCCGGAAGGCGCATTACGTTCCCGATCGCGCTCGATGATCGGTGGAACAGGGAAGCGCTAGAGAGGTACATGAGCACGACGCGGCAGCGCGCTGTGTACTTGCCGAGCAATGTCGAGTATCTCGCGAAGAATAATGGGCTGAGCGGTGGTAAGGAGGAGGTGTTAGCAAAGCTCGTCGAGTCTGACTGGGTATGTTTTTCCTGCGTGGTCTTGGATGGTTCGGATGCGAGGTTGTTGATTTGTTGTGGGGATATAGCTTGTGTTTGGCGTTGGGTTCTACCTTGCTTGTCCGTTTTTAATACCGGTATGCATCAATCATCCCAAGTCGCCTCCTTCGAATGCTGCTAACGATATGCTTCTAGATCGATCCTCGATGTCGTCTCGTAGGCCAAAAAATGAACCCATCGCGAACATACACTCCCCGAGTACGTCTTGTACATGATCTCTCCTATCACCACTCAGTCTCACCTTTTTATATGCTCTAAGGGAGCAGTAGGCATAGCCGGACCCGTCGCAGCCATCTACCCTGTCGTCTCTCCGGGCGGATACCAACTTTTCGGACGCACACTCCCAGCCTGGCAGACATGGGGCCGCGGGGCGGACTTCGAGCTCAATCGGCCGTGGTTGCTGAGACCATTTGATCGAGTCAGGTTTAAGTCGGTTATGGAGGAGGAGTACGAGCGTGTAAGACTTGTGCCATTGTGTTTATATTGTGGTAAGGTGTTTGATGGAATGCATTTGCTTCAGATCGAGAAGGAGTTCGATGCGGGGCGGTATGAATTTGAGGTATGGGTTCCTATCGTCCTCGCTTGGCCCTCTGTTAGTCTCATGCATGATATCATCGCCAGATCGAGCCTCTCGAGTTCTCCATGAAGGAGTACGACGCTTTCGTTGAGTCTGTTTCTGACGAGGTCGCCAAGTTCAGGAATAAGCAGGCTGCAGGCGTCGCCATTGAAAGTGCACGGTACGTCCTTCCCGCCCTCACTGGCTTCGTTATCCTGTCGCCTCTGATATTCAACGAACTACTGTTTGCAAAGGGAGAACACCCTCCTAGCAGAGTGGAACGCCGAACGCGAAGCCAAGGCCGCCGAAGCCCGCATGAACGCTGGTGCGAACGCCATAAACCCAGAAAGTGCGGCGGACGGGCCGTCCATCAGATCCCCGATGTCCGCGTCGGTGTGGAAGATTCGGTTTTCGCCGGGACAGAGTATTCAGAGCGCCGAGGACGTGGTCGTCATTCTTGAGGCGATGAAGACGGAGATCAATGTACTCGCCGGAGAGGAGAGTGTCGGGTGCGTGGTGAGAGGGTTCGGGAGCGGGGTTGCGGAAGGGCAGGCCGTTCAGGCGGGAGATGTGCTCGTTCATTTGGAGTGATATTTGTGAGTGATAGCTTGCTTCGATGATGAACATCTAAAGCTTTTCTATGGTAATGCGAGTACAGTCCTGGTGGTGACATGTCATCAGTCTAAGCTTTATTGACCAAGCAATGACGAGAATAGAAGCGTCGGGACATACCACGACGGTGGGATACGGAGTTCGTGCCGGTAGCCATGCCAGTTATCTATGTGATGTGGGGTAAACCTGGTGCCTCCGGTCTGCGCGGGTGAGAAGGTCGAGCCCGACCGACGAGAGAATGCGACTCGGACAAAACAATTCCGAGCAGGATAGTAAGTTGAGTACTTGCCAAGGTAGGTTGAACATCATACCCGAGAGCCAAGTCGCTTCTCTGGCCGAGAAGAACTTGACGATCTCACGATTTTAGGGATTGTAGGGAGATTCGAGCAGCACATGAGCATCTTGATGGAGTTAAATTAGCTCAGACACTAGGGCGTGATGGTATGTATCGGAACACGACGAGAGTGCATGCGACACTCATCAATGGACTCGACGATTGGGTGGAGGCGAACAGGCGTGCCTGTGGGGTTTGTGCTGTAAAGGCAGCGAAATCGGAGTCTAAAGATTAGTTGTCCTCACATAGGCAAGTCGTTCGCTTCCTTATGTTGAAACTCAAAATTAAAACTGAATGTGGCATGGCGCGACGGAGCGCTTAAACGACGCCCTTATCTCTCGGACTCGCACGGAGAACATCATATGCTCCCTGCCCAAACAGGTACATAAGGCCACCCATGTCCTGACCGCAGCTCGCCAGGTCTTTCGAGGATCCCCCCTTACCTTCTAATCCCCGATGGCGTCCACCGACCTCGACTACGTCGCGGAACGGTCGGTCAGCGTTGGCTCAGGCTCCGAAGAGAAGCGCGAGCAAACTGACCACGACAAGGCTGAAGGTGCGTTTTTAGCATCTTTGTTAGTCGATATGGCAAGTCACTGAGTCTTTGCAGCTATCGTCGATGCCATCGCTCTTGCGGACTTTGATGACCCCAATATTGACAAGAACGAAGCTATAGCTGGCGTCCTCGGTTTGTGCTTCTTCTTATCATTGTCGTCGCCGCAAGCTAAGTGCTCGCTTTAGAGGACGACTCGCCGTACCCCGAGGTACGCTCGGCCGTCGCAAACACGGACGACCAGTCCATCCCCTGCAATACCTTCCGTGCCTGGACCATGGGCTTATTTTGGACAATTATCATTCCCGGTCTCAACCAGTTCTTCTTCTTCCGGTATCCCTCCGTCAACATCACCGGCATTGTCGCGCAGCTACTCTCCTTCCCCATGGGCAAGTTGTGGGCACGGATTGTGCCGAACGTCAAGATATTTGGTCTTTCGATCAATCCTGGGCCGTTCACTGTCAAAGAGCACGTCTTGGTTGTTATCATGGCGACCGTTGGCTGGCAGTCAGCTTACGCTGTGAGTTGTTTCATTTTCTGACCAGTCAACGAGACTCACCGATGTTTTGACTATAGACGGATATTATCGCAGTGCAGCGCGTGTACTACAATCAGATCTTCAACTTCAGCTACCAATGGATGCTCGTAATATCCACCCAGCTCATTGGTTTCTCTCTCGGCGGGATCATGCGTCGCTTCCTCGTTAATCCACCATCCATGATCTGGCCCACTAACCTCGTCACCTGCGCGCTCTTCAACACCCTCCATTCGCAGCAGTACGCTGGGATCGGCAACCATGCCGGGGTCTCGCGCGAGCGCTTCTTTAGCTACGTCTTCTTCGGCGGCGTAGCATGGTACTTCATCCCCGGCTACCTCTTCCAGGCGCTCGGGTACTTCACCTGGGTATGCTGGATTGCTCCTGAAAACGTCGTTGTCAACCAGCTGTTCGGATACCAGTCCGGCCTCGGGATGTCGCTCATTACGTTCAATTGGGCCGAGATCACATACATTATCTCGCCCCTATCGACTCCCTGGTGGGCTGAGGCAAACGTTGTCGCAGGCTTTGTGTTTTTCTTCTGGTTCATCACGCCGATCTTATACTACACCAACACATGGTACTCCAAGTTCCTGCCCATGTCATCGATCACGTCGTATGATAGATTCGGGGACAGCTACAACGTGACGGCGATCCTCAACCCGGACAACACGCTCAACCTTACTGCGTACCAGGAATACAGTCCACTCTTCCTGTCGACAACCTTCGCTCTGTCTTATGGACTGTCGTTCGCGTCCATCACAGCCACCATCACGCACGCCTTCCTCTTCTTCCGCAAGCAAATCTGGACGCAATCCCGTCGCTCGATGGACGAGCAGCCCGACGTGCACGCCCGCCTGATGTCAAAATACAGACAAGTCCCCGAGTGGTGGTACATGATCATCTTTCTCGTCATGTTCGTCTTCGGCATCATCGTCATCGAGGTCTGGCCGACCGAGTTCCCCGTCTGGGGCTTCGTCCTCTCCCTCATCATCGCATTCGCGTACATCATCCCGATCGGCATGATCCAGGCCATCACGAACCAGCAGGTTGGCCTCAACGTCATCACCGAGCTCGTCGTCGGCTACGCGCTCCCCGGGCGCCCGCTCGCGATGATGATGTTCAAGACATGGGGCTACATCTCCATGGCGCAGGCCCTCCAGTTCGCTTCGGACTTCAAGCTCGGGCACTACATGAAAGTCCCGCCGCGCGTGATGTTTACGGCGCAGGTAATCGCAGCGGTGATTGCAGGCACAGTGCAGCTCGGCGTGCAGGCGTGGATGTTCAGCAATATCAGGGACATATGCAGCACGTCGCAGCCGGATGGGTTTATATGCCCAAACACGCAGGTGTTCGGGACGGCGAGCATCATCTGGGGTGCGATCGGACCGCAGAGGCAGTACTCGTCCGGGCAGCTGTATCACGGGCTGACGTGGTTCTTCCTCATCGGCGCGGCGTGCCCATTCGTGGCGTGGCTTATCTCGCTCAAGTGGCCGAATAGCTTCATCAAATATGTCAAGTGAGCACTTGATTGATGTTTCAAAAACGATTTCTGATGTATGCGATAGCTTCCCTGTGATCTTCACGGGCACAAACATGATCCCGCCCGCGACGGGTCTGAACTACGTCTCGTGGGGCATCGTCGGGTTCATCTTCCAGTACCTCATCCGCCGGCGCCATTTCTCGTGGTGGACCAAGTACAACTGTAAGTCACCCCTGTTAATTCTGTCTGTAAATCTGGCTGAACATCCCGCCTACAGACGTGCTCTCAGCCGCGCTCGACTCGGGCCTCGCCATTGGCATCGTGCTCGTCTTCTTCTGCCTGCAGTATCCACGCAACGGGACCATCGGCGCGAACAACATCGACACGTGGTGGGGCAACACCGTGTATCTCAACACCGCAGATAATAACGCCACATCGCTGTTGCCCGTGCCTGAAAATGGGTTTGGGCCGACGACATGGTGAAGCGTCTGCTTCTTTCGTTCAGCTCCTGTCTTGCGTTCGATGTTGAACTTAATATCGGTGTCTTGTATTCTGAATCTGTACCAGACCTTGTGTCTATAATACAAGCTTGGTGCACCGGTACCGGTAATTGTGTAATTTGTATTTTTCCGTTCCGGTCGTTCTGTATCTATATACGACGGCTGGTTAACTCAACCAAGCACAGCCACTAGTGGCGTCGAAGCGTTGGTCAAATACAAGACGCCAACGAATACAAGGCGTCGAACAAGGTTGCCTTCGAGGTCATGTTCTCTTTCTTGTTATAGCTAGACTTCACGGTAGCCATCTCCTTGGTTACCTCATGATTAGTGAAAGTGTATAAGTAGCTCGATTTCTTCATCCAACCCAGTTCGTATCTCATTGTGGCGCTAGAGGCACCCATCATGTCCTTGCAAAGTCTGGATTTCATGTACTCATCGATATTCCAATGGAGCCAGCTTAAAATTTTCTGTTGACCTCACTCCATGTCTTCACCCAGCCTACATCGCTAACCTACTCAACATCAACAGGGTTCCAAGTGACTGCGCCCTTCCCGCCCTCGTCCAGCGCGTCCAGAGCAGCCATGTCCTCATCGACAATCTCCCATCCGTATACTTGTGCGTTCTCAACGATTCGCTTCTCTCTCGCTGATTTTGGGAGCGGGACAAATCTGCGTTATGTCAAGCAAACGTTCAACTCTGCGACATACAAGAACGTGGGGCGAATCGCTAAAGCTCACCCGTGCTGCAGGGACCACCTCACGAGCACTTGTGCTGGTGTCTTCTCCAGCTGACGCTCGACGTCAGCTCTATTTTTGCAGTAAAAGTCTCTAAGAGAGAGACGGACCTTGCTCGCAATGTCTCGGATCACTTGGTGGTCGAATTTACTGGCAACTCCGCGCACTAGAGGGCTGTACGCCTGTATGACGATCTCGTGCTTCTTGCAGTAATCCACAATAGGCCTCTGTTGGCAAAACGGATGCAACTTCAGGTTGTCACAACATGCGTTATGTCAGTTCAGTGCCCGACAATAGCCCCTGAAGCATAGTTGATGCACCTCGATCTGGTTGACCGCTGGCTTCTCCAGGCCCGCGTCTACGATCTCTTGAATGTGTTTGTCAGAGCTAACCAACCCTCACTTTCAGATTTACACTTTTCATACGATTAAGTTAGGCGATGTAAGACGTACAAGTTCGACACGCCTGCCGCTCGGATCCTCCCTTCTTGCTTCTCATCCAACAGGGCCATGTATGCACCGAGCCTTGCATTCGTTCCTCCGTGCGGGCTGTGCAGAAGGTACAAATCGTAGTATGCTACACACAATGCACAAAATCAAGTTTTTTCACCATGCATGACTATCACCAAGACTCACCCTTGTCTACCCCAAGCCCACGCTTCAGCTTCTCCACGGAGTCCTGCACCGCGCTCCGTACAGTCCTCCTTGCGGCTTGCTGGGACGCCTCTGAGGATGTGGTGTTGTCCAAGGCAGTTTCACCCACGTACTCGGTCCAGTAGACCTTCGACGCTGCAATCAGTTGGGAGCGAATGTCGACGTCAGTGTAACCGCATCATGTGCAGCATATGCAGAGCTCATACGCACTGATGAACAGTTCCGAACGGTCTTTCCCTGCCTGCTTCACTCCTTCTCCCACCTGTGCCTCGTTGCGGTAGTATCGGGCCGAGTCGATATGGCTGTTGCGTGGCAGGACGTTCAAAGTGTTTTTGATAGTGGGTCTTTGGACACGACTCGGAGGTAAGAAACGTACGTGTACCCATTCTGCAACGCGATCCTGACTGCCTCTGCACACTCGTCATTCTCAAATACGCCCAGTCCTATGGTTGCCATCTTCGCTCCTTTGATGATTATTTCACGCAAGTGCTTTAGAACGTACGATACCGTGCGAGCGAGGTCGGCTCACCTGTTGATAACGTGACTTCGGTAGGTACGATCATGTTCGTGAATTGAGGTTATGATAATGAGTTAGTAAGCTCGGCGGTAGGTAGATATACGCGGTTCTCATGGCTGACGCAAACGGTGATCTAATATTGGGAACAAATGTGGCCAATCACCATTCTTTCAGCTTCAAGCGCCCTATAAGAGTAAACCTTGCATTTTTTTTGATTTGTTAAGCATCGTGTCGTGGACCAACGTCATAGTGATTATGCAAGGACGCATTGATGATATATAGTAGTACAGCTTCCAACCTTTCCTTCTACACGAAGGTAAGCTTCCTGAACTGTCAATATTTAGTCGAGGTGGATAGGGTTCCAAGTGACCGCCCCCTCGTCGCCCTTGTCGAGCGCGTCCAATCTAGCCATATCCTCGGCAGGAATCTCCCAGCCGTATACCTGCGCATTCACCTTGATGCGTTCTTCGTGCTCAGACTTGGGGAGCGGGACGAAGCTAGCAACGATTCAGCTCGAAGTCAGCCGGAGAAGCATGAAGATGAAGCTTACTCGTGCTGGAGGGACCACCGCACTAAGACTTGGGCGGCGGTTACTTGGAGCTTTTGATAGGTGGGTGTGATGTCAGCGCGCCGAATTCATGTCCTGGGGAATCTCACGAGAAGATTCGTACCTTGTCAGCGACACTCTGAATCACGCCGTTCTTGTCCCCGGAGAAGTTGAACCGGAGGAGGGGAGTGTATGCCTGCACGAGGATGTTGTGTTTCTTGCAGTACTCCACGATGGGTTTCTGCTGGTCAAGGGGGTGCAGCTGGGCAACGTAATACCTTGTTCAGCGAACCTTGGATAGGTTTGTTTGGATCGAACTCTCAACATACCTCAACCTGGTTCACGGCTGGGAGCTCCAGGCCAGCTTCTCGGATCTCCTCGATATGTTTTGGGCCACTGGGCAAGAAGCCATGAGCATGCCTAGAATGTCGAGACTCATCGTCCGATGCCGCACTCACTAATTAGACACTCCCACACTGCGAACCAGGCCCTTCCTCTTTGCCTCCAACAAGCCTCTCCAGCCCTTGAGCCGCTTTTCTTTCCCGCCGTGTGGACTGTGTAGAAGGAAAAGGTCGTAGTAGTCCGAAGAGCCAAGTGGCTCCCGCGTGCCCTCCAGGCCATACTTGAGGTTTTGGATAGAGTCTAATACTGCGGATTCGGTGTCGTCGAAGTCATTTGACCCGGCCTTCGAGGCTGCGTAGGGCGCGGGTCAACATACGTGTCGAGTGTATCAGAGCAATGGTGGGAGGACACGAAGCATGGGGAGTGAATGGATGAGATTGCGACGACATACTGATAAAAAGCGTAGACCGGTCGACGCCAGAAGCCTTGATGCCTACGCCTACCTGCGTCTCGTTGTGATACAGCCGAGCGGAGTCGACATGGCTATTTCAAGCAACCGGATAATAAGGCAAAAGGATGAGTCCAGCTGAGTTTTTTAGTATCAAGGAGGTTTTGAACGGGACGTACGTATACCCGTGCTTCAGCGCAGCCGTAACAGCCTGCGCGCAGTGGGTGTTCTGGTACACCCCGAGTCCCACAGTGGGTATCTTGTAGCCTGAGCACTTCGGTCAGCTTTCCCATACACTACAAGAAACGCAATGTTTACCAGACGTGAGGGTGGCCTCCTTTGGAACAGAGTCGGTCATGGTTGTGAGGTGTCTTGAGACGAACGCTATCTGATGGGTAAGACGAAGGATAAGTCATTGGCCCCTGTGTCATCCTGATGACTTGCCCACCGGTAGGGAGATCCGGGCCGGTGCCCCGAGATGCTGTGTGATTTAGGGCCGGCCTGGTTCATCCAACGCGCTCGCTCGTGTTCGTGGCTCATCCCCAGTCTATACGAGATCATTCACCATTGTCGCCTGCAGGCCTGACCACCTCTGACCACCCCACTTGCTGGTAACATAACTCGTTTGCTATCGTCCTTGGCCATCTCGTATAATCCTGAGGAACGTCGAGTGGAGTGGATCGTAGCGTAAGTACTCCATCTCTCGACAGACTCTGGGAATTACCCCTTGGAGAACGCTGTTGATAAAGGGGCGTCGTCTCAGTAAAAGCGACCGTCTCGGAGCCGTGAAAGCATTGTAAAGAGCCCCTTTACTCAAGCCAACGACCATCCCGTCATGGAGCCTCCGTCGCCTCGTAGGTTACACCTCCTCTGAATCATTTTCTTGCATTCCGGATGGACTCAATTGCTAAGTGTGACTGACCTTGTGCGTCCCCCAGTCTCCCTTCACCATGATCATCCTGGCACATTACTCCCACCTGAAATTTACCTGAAAATATTTGAGGACTTCATCCTCCCTTCACGCGACGTCGCCAAATCGGATTTCAAGGTACAAGGAACGCTACGACAACTCACCCTTTCCTGCTGGCTCTTCCGTCATCTAACTTTACCCTACCTATTCGAGCGCATTGTCTTTGACGGAGACCGCTTCTGGAAAAATACCGATATCGGTAGGCGGGCATGGGTGCACGCCATCTCCGATGGTAAACGCCCGGCAATCGACGCTGCGTCATATGTCAAGCACGTTGTGTTCCATTACGATCCAAAAAGAGCTAGTGAACCGGAGGCTAACCTCGCTCAGCTGGTGACAGCGAGGCCATTTGCAGAGATCTATTGCGGCTTGCTATCTCGGATGGATAACTTAGGCGACGCTGAGTTCGTACGCTGCAGGATCTTTACAAACCACATCATCGCACTCCGACAGCTTTCCAACCTGCGCAAGGTTGCTTTTAGAGAGTGTACGTGGGAAGATAGTATGCTTGAGACGGTTGTGCCGGGCTTGGGTTGCAAAGTGGAAGACGTTGAACTCGAATACAGACCGAGGCGACCTGAGAACGAGCTAGATTTGGGCGTATCAGATTGGGGCTACAAGGTTCTCAACACGACCACGTCGTTGCGTCGGATTGTGGCGACAGAGGTAACTATGCTCCGGATGATAGGAAGTAAAGGACAAATGAAACTCGGGCACATACGCGAAATCTGTGTTCACTTCTGGTCGCTGCGGGAACGCACAGACACGGAGCGGCAACGGGAATATCAGTTATTCCATGAAGCCAAGCATTGGCTCCCTTATTATCCAGCCCTTGAGAGACTTGTCCTCTTTTCATCATGGCCCGGGGCTTATGGTGGTAGACCTCTGGATCGGCCTCGAAAGGTTCGTGATCGCCTTTACGCTCCCTAGTTATCGCACGTATACTCATTATGCATGGCGTTTACTACCAGCTTGTCCAAGACATCACTGACATGGCGACAGCACAGTTTCACTGCTTACGCCGACTCGAGATTCTGGATCCCTCCTTTGAGACCACCCAAATCATGTTCAAACGAAATCTCACCGAAGATGTTCTCAAAGCGATGGTTCACAAGGTCTGCCCAAGCCTGGAGTACTTCCGCTTTGGACCGCTCGAATGGACGCTGCAATCGGGGGCCTGGGTCCAGAACTTTAGGATCCCCACGCGCGGAAAGGGCGCTTACTGGTGATCCCCCAACGAATACTCTGTTATGCAAACTGAGTTTGCTCATACGGATCGATGTCTCTCTCATATCCCTACCTACCAGCAATAGACCCATATGTGTTCAATTGTTTGGTTTGGTCCGATTCGATTCCATGATCGTGACAGACTGGACAACACGACACTCTGTGTTTGATGCCTCGTTTCCCCACCTATCGCTCTTGTACCATATGTACTTTATCTCACTGGCAAAGAGTGGCGCACGGCGAATGTTCTGGTCGCCTCTAGTTGATGGTTGTACCCTGGCAAAGAAGTATTTGACTCGTCGCTACCCGCCTGCAGCCCGTATTGTGCAGCGGAGGCGAAAAATATTTGGGCGTTTCAGATAGCGATAGAGCTGAGACGGTAATGCATATTGTTTAGAGAGGATGCAAACAAATACAAGAGGTATGAGGCGAGAGGCGAAGACAAAATCAAATACAAGATGCGCGATATAAGCGAGGTATGGATAGGTTTCATAGCGAACATAGCAGAGACAGCATTTTGATAGCGATATACTGATTCGAAGAATCAAACAACAACAAAAAAGCAGCAGGGACAAGAAAAATTCGAAACAAAAGGATGGATTTGAGAAACGGAGTGCTCGAGCCTAGCGAGCCGAGCTTGAAGGCATCTGGATACAAGAAAACGCCGCTCTTATGTCGTAAACCTGGCAGCAAGCTTACTCCCTCTTGATTGTCCAGGTCATGCCTCCAAAATACAAGCGTTCCAACCTCGGGCAGATATCCGACGCCAATGTTGTGAGCGTTTCCATATCGAGCCTTTTCGGCCCTGCAAATGTGTGGCCTAGAGTGAGAATCTCGAGTCGAACGAGTTTGAGAAGCCTGGCGGTCGCTGTTTTGGTGATGGCCTCGACGATCTGTTCGGAATGCAACAGTTCGGTCATGATCAGTAGACAGTCTTTTGAGTACGATGCACGGTGAGACCTCACCGTTTGTACTCCATGGTCGACGAACACTTGTTTCGCGTACTGTGGAGGGACGACTATCCTGAGACTTTCTATAGACAGGTAGGAGAGTGCCCAAGCTCCGCCGCTTGTGAAAACGTCCAGGACATATCTCTCTTCCCGGCCTCCGTACACTAAGGGTAGGTTAAGCTCCAGATCCAGAACCTTTCGCGTCGCCAGCGGTGCGGAGCCATCAACTGTGGTCACGGACGCCTCTCCCTGTATGGCCGCCTCGACCTTCAAACAGTTTCCGAGCGTCACGAGCATGTCGATGCTGTCCAGGACAAGACTGCGCAGCTTCGGACATGCAGCAAGCGCTTTGGATCCCCAGTCTGGCAGCGGTAATGACGTATACTGGTCCCCATCAACGTCCTCCTCCTCTATCTCATCGTCGATCACGACACGCTCAATGTAAGCCCCGAAACCGCCCTCGGCACGCGGATCTCCGAGACCTCCATCCCCGTATGCATCATCATCGTTTTCGAGCTTTGCCACATCCCACGTGTTTCGGCCCCTGAACTCCAACACACGCAGTTTCTGCAGATTCCTGAGCGCCCTGACATGGTCCACCGTGACATCCGCCCTCGAAAATACGACAGCCTCGAGGTTCGGCATCGCCTCGAGCGCCTGGCAGTGGAAGCCCACGAGATGGGACAGCCAGCCGCGCATGGGGATGTGCGTGCCTAGCGCGTCGTCCGTCCAGTTCTGGAACACGACGCACTTGACGAAGGCCGCGGTCGTGAGCGCGGGGGGCTTGCCGGTGATGACGGCGTGCGCCCAGCCGCCCGAGTTGAATGCGCCCATCTTGCGCGGGTCGCCGGAGCCGTCGAACAGGAGGCGCTCGAACATGCGTGGGAGAGCGAGGTGGCAGAAGAAGCGGCATGCGACGGCGAAGCTGCGCAGGGTCCTGATCTCGCTTGTTTTTGGGAAGCGGGACGAAGGGACGAAGGATTCGAGGATGGCGATGTAGATCTCGTTGGGGATGATGGGCAGATCCTGCCCGGTGGGGGAGCGTCGCGTTGGGGCTACGATCCGAGGCAGATGCAGGCGTTGTTAGACAAGTGGTACAACTAAGGATATCAAGACTTACTAGACCATTTGAACTCCATCCTGCAAACCAAGTACGCCACTGGCAAGAAGACACAGGGGTAACTACGCGTCTCATTAGCGAGACGCGTTTTGATCTTGATAAAACCGTGTGAATTCAATTTAAAGTCCGACAATCAGACGATCGCGGCGTCCAATGAGGCTGCAGATTGAACGAACAAAACGGTTTTGGAGACTGAAGTTACTTTAACATGTAGGAACATTCAGGAATGTCATAGAATTACTTAGGTTGAGAAATCACACAGCGGATGAGAGCAGTGCGAGCTTGAGTATTTCTCACTCGAGTTCGTCTATTATTTATACTACTAGTTTGTAGGGGCTATAGGCCTCCTCTACTTTAGATTACTCATACGAATTCTATGGGCACGGCTTGCCATCGGTTTCAAGTGTAGTTCCGTCCGACTACTAAATTCATTACAACAGGAGTAGCCTCAGTCAGCGCGCTGCGGAGAGCACGTGACTTTACTCATGACGCCGAGACTGACGTCGTGTCATTCTCGTCTCGCTTTATTCAACAGAATTATTCAACTGCTTGAACAGCTAAGTGGTCTGCCGGAAGGAGACGCGTCCAATCGGCAGACACGCGTCGAGGACAGCTCGGGGCATTATTCGGCGGTTGGGCGCGTCAAGGACCGTGCGAATGTGCATAACGCGGGATTGATGTCGCTACTCGCCGACGTTGCCAGCCTCTAACTCCCAAGATCTCGAACCTTCTTGTCCCCTTCTCGCTAGCAATGCCCGAACGGCAAGCCGTTACATTGCGCGTCTGTTATGTTATGGCCCCTATCAAGCACGGCACAATGCAAAACTATATTCTGAAAACAGGCATAAAATAGATCTCAATACTGCATCCAACGACACGATTCGACAAGCCCTTCATCCACTGCAGCATGTCTACTCTTGCGAACCCCATCCTCATTGTGAGTGCTTGCCCTCCTCTAACTATAGCGACAAGCTTACTCATGGCCTTGTACCAATAGGTCGGCGCTGGTCCAGCTGGCCTCGTAGCGGCCTTGGCTCTCCTTCGGAACGGCATACCTGTCCGAATCATCGAGAAGGAGACCAGTTATCGTGCAGGACAACGTGGTCCCGGCATCTCAGTTTGTCTCGCCTCAGACTACTACTGCACAGATTTTTTGACATATTGTTTTGTCCTTGTTAGCCTCGAACCCTTGAAGTATTCAACTTCCTCTGCGTGCCTGAGATCAACGCCGCAGCGACGCGGACGCTCCCTATCCGCGCGTTCAAGCCCGGTACAATGGAACCACTGCGTACAATCACTTTGACTGCCCCGATTGAGGCTAGCACTGCATGTCCCTTTGTTCGTCTCCTCCATCAGGAAAACGGCTACTTGGTTATTTCCCCGATTACGTGAATCTAAGCGAATCTCAATAGCATAAGCGAGCTAATAAGCGCGACCCCTATAAGTTTGACCAGCTGTTACGCGTAAGGCCGAACCTCCTCACTATAACCTAGCTTTTGCTTTTTACCTACTTGTAGAGCGAATTATTAGACCATTAGCAACTTCGCCATCTTGTTATTTAGCTTCCTCCCGAAATTTGCAGGTACTGATTCCATCCAAATAGCTTCAATAAGATGCGAATTAGGTGTGAATAATCGTCACTTAGTTCGCTGAAAAGCACTGAATAAGAGTCCATTGCGACCATATTATTAATGCGAATGCGTAGTACGATGATAAAAAACGCGTATAGCGTAACGAATAGTGTAGTAATGAAGAGACCCCGCAGCCAATAACCACCAAAACTATTGCTTGCCGCCGAACGAGAACTTGAAGAGCAGAAATCCTAGTAGGGCCTCGTGAGTAGTATGTTTCTGTAAGCAGATTAAAGC